GGGAAGGCGGCCTTGTTTGGCTGCACTGGCGCGAAGCCGTACGGCACACTGCGGTTCTGAAACGCCCGCAGCTCCGTGGATTCTGGAGATGCTACAGTGCTGCCGTCTGCTGATTGGTCTACAGTGCTGCTGCTGCCGCCCGGATCAGAGGGGTCTGACTGGCTGGCAAGGGCGGCGGCAGCGTCGGGGTCATAAAGGGAGGAGGAGGGGAGGAAGGCGGGGTTGACTCCAAATGGCTGGCGCGAGGTGCTGTTGGCGCAGTAGGGGAAGAGGCTCAGGAACCTGTAAGGGGGGGACAGGGGTGAGGGAGGGGGAGGAGGGAGAAGGGGAGGGGGGAATTAGTGGATGGGATTGTGGAAGATGGTGAATAGGCATGGCATGGTGGGGATTGTGACACGCCATTCTGCCTGCAGAGGCGGCAGGGCTTGTCTCACCTGAAGGGCAGCAAGACATGTTTCACCTGGAGGGGCGGCAGGGCATGTTTCACCTGGAGGGGCGGCAGGCAGGGCATGTTTCACCTGGAGGGGCGGCAGGGCCCGCCATCGGCGCGCGTCTGTTCGAGGAAGAGCCCGATGAGCAGGCGGTTGTGCTCCGCCACAAACCGCACCTGCGCCTCCTGCTGCCGCGCCGCCATCAGCGCCTGCAGCAGCGACGCCGAGGTGCTGTTGGCTGTGGTGGTGTTGTTGGCGTTGGTGCTCGTGGCAGTAGCATTGGTGATACCATTCACGGTGGCGTCGGAGGTGGCGCCACGGACGGCGAAGGGGAAGCGCAGGCGCGAGCCGGCGTCCTTCATGAGACAGCACACTGGGGGGGACGGGGGGAGACGGGGGGGATGGGGGGGGGATGGGGGGGGAAGAGGGGGAGATGGCGGGAGATGGCGGGAGATGAGGGGTGACGTGAGGAAATGAGGAGACGAGGAGGAGATGAGGGAAGGGACAGCAACTAACGTGGCGCGAGTGCTTTTGAGGCGCCTCAAAAGGGACAGCAACTGCAGCAAGAGCAGCATGGCAGGGTGATGGTGGCGTGATGGTGGTGGGATGGTGGTGGGATGGTGGTGGGATGGTGGTGGGATGGTGGTGGGATGGTGGGGTGACGGTGGAATCATGAAGGGGTCAAGTAGAAATCATTGAGGGGGTCTGATCGGACCTAGGATAGAGGCATGGCCGGATTTACTCACATCCCTGCTTCGAGCGCGCCTGGTCAACCGGGCAGGAGCAGGAGGTGGGGGCAGCAGCCATGGAGGGCGGGAGAGTGAAGGGGGGGCCGGCACACGCACAGTCGCCCCCATCAAAGGCGCACGCGTCCACGTGGCACGCGCTGTGGCACAGCCCGTCCGCCAGCATGCTCAGAGTGCAGCCCGGCGCACACTGCTCTGCCAGCGGCGGTGGGGACACTGTTGTGGCCGCGGGAAGTGGGGCGGCAACTGCAGGAGAAGCAGCCGCAGTCGCACGTGCCCAGAGCGTAACAGTCGCAAGTGATGTATCGGCAGCAAGGGTGGTTATGGAGAGCGACTGAGGCGCAGCAGGGGAAGGGAGCACGGAGAGCAGGCCTGCCATGGGCTGCCCAGTGCGCGCGCACTGGTAGCGGTAAGGGCCGGGGGAGAGGAGCACGGCTGACACTGAGAAGACAGAGGGGTCACCGGGGACAGCTGGAGGGGAAGGGAGAGAATGGGGGAGTGGAGGGGAGGGATTTGAGGGAGGGAGGAAGGGGGAGGTAGGGAGCGAGTGGGTGGGATAGGTATGAGCAAGCAGGGGAGATGCATAGAGCACACACACTGGGATTGGCAGGGGGCTTGCACTGACCAGAGCTGCGAGGGGGGGGGAATGTGGGGGAAGGGTTGGGGGAAGGGTGTGGGGAAGGGTGTGGGGGAAGGGTGTGGGGGAAGGGTGTGGGGGAAGGGTGTGGGGGAAGGGTGTGGGGGAAGGGTGTGGGGGAAGGGTGTGGGGGAAGGGTGTGGGTGGGGGAAGGGTGTGGGGAAGGGTGTGAGGGAAGGGTGTGGGGGAAGGGTGTGGGGGAAGGGTGTGGGGGAGCAGGCGGGGAGGCAGAGGGGCTTACAGAGTGCGCAGGGCAGGGGGATGTGCGCCGCCCACTGCTGCTGCACCGCTGCCACCTCGCGCTCTGACTCGCCCCTGGCATCCGGCAGCACGCCCACGTTGTCAGTGGAGCACATGGCGTCTGCCGCCACCACCAGGCGGCCAGAGCCAAAGCCGTGCCAGGGGGAGGGCAGGGGCGGGCTCGGGTCCGCCACTGGGGGATGGAGGGAGGGGAGGGGAGGAGACAGACGACGAGAAGCACAGGTCGGGAGGAGTGCAGAGACAGGGATGAGGGGGCGAATGGGATGAGGGGGCGAATGGGATGAGGGGGCGAATGGGATGAGGGGGCGAATGGGATGAGGGGGCGAATGGGATGAGGGGGCGAATGGGATGAGGGGGCGAATGGGATGAGGGGGCGAATGGGATGAGGGGGCGAATGGGATGAGGGGGCGAATGGGATGAGGGGGCGAATGGGATGAGGGGGCGAATGGGATGAGGATGATGAGGACAAAGATGGGGATAGCGCCCAGGACTGGGATACCGCCCAGGACTGGGATACCGCCCAGGACTGGGATACCGCCCAGGACTGGGATACCGCCCAGGACTGGGATAGCGCCCAGGACTGGGATACCGCCCAGGACTGGGATACCGCCCAGGACTGGGATACCGCCCATGACTGGGATACCGCCCAGGACTGGGATAGCGTCCAGGACTGGGATACCGCCCAGGACTGGGATGCGGACGCTTGAGCAAGCGAGGGGGAGGAAAGGGGAAAAGGGGTAGAGGGAGACAGATGACTCAGGAAACTCAGGGCAATCCCTTGCACCCCACAGCAATCCCTTGCACCCCACAGCAATCCCTTGCACCCCACAGCAATCCCTTGCACCCCACAGCAATCCCTTGCACCCCACTGCAATCCCTTGCACCCCACAGCAATCCCTTGCACCCCACAGCAATCCCTTGCACCCCACAGCAATCCCTTGCACCCCACTGCAATCCCTTGCACCCCACTGCAATCCCTTGCACCCATAGCACCCCGTAAACGGCACGTACATGTGAGGGCGTGCAGCAGCCATGGCACGTACATGTGAGGGCGTGCGGCAGCCCATCCGCCCACAGCCACGTGACCTTGTCTCCCGCTGCCACCGTCGTGTTCAGCCCCACTCCCGGCGCCCACAGCAGCGTGGGGCCCACCGCCAGCCCACATGGCGGCAGCGAGGGGTCAACCACCGAGGGGTCGAGGGCGCGCAGGAGACGGGCGAGGGAGGCGCGCGCGGTGGGGGGCAGGGCGACCACTGAGTCGAGGGCGGCCAGGAGGAGAGACGTGAAGCGCGCCTGCTGCGTGGGGGAGAGGAGGGATGGGGTGCCGCTGCAGGCAGTGGGGCAGAAGAGAGGGGAGTTGTGGGGGGGGTGGGGGAAGGGAGGAGAGGGAAAGAGAGCGAGGTGAGGCGAGTAGTGCTGAGTTGCATGGGTTGCTGGTTGAGCCATTCTTGATTGGTACAATCAGTACGTTACTGTGAATAACAAAACATGGCGTGTTGAGCCCCCATCCCACCTTCGCCTCATCCCACTTCCCCACCCACCACCCACCAATCCCCATCCCCCAACCCCTATCGTTCATCCCCCATCCCCGATCCCCCATCCCCCATCCCGCATCCCCCATCCCACAATCCGCGCTCCCCATTGCAGCAAATCCCCTTCCTTTACTTTGCCTGCCCCCACGGCACGTCAGTGGCAAGCTGCTGCAGCGACACGAGCTGCCGGCCCGACGCGTGGTGTGTGTAGTTGCACCCGTGCACGTGCTGCGCCGCCTGCGGCCCGCCCAGCAGCGAGCATAGAAACGCCACCAGGCGCAGTCGAGACGCGGGGGCCAGCAGAGCCGGGGCAGGGGAGGCGGGGGAGGGGGAGGACGAGGGGGAGGAGGCAGGAGGAGTGGTGCTGGCGCTACTGGTGCTGGGGGGGTTTGAGAGCGAGGAGGGGGCGAGGGGGGGCTGGAAGGGAGCGGCCGTGACGAGACAGCTGTCCTTGACTGCTGTGTAGAGAGCACGGGCGACCGCCACGTGGGAGTTCTGGATACGCTGCTGGTCAGAGGAACCCAGGCTCGCCCAGAGGCTGGCGTCGGTGACACCTGCGGGCGAGAGACGGGGCAGGTGGGGCATGTGGGGCATGTGGGGCAGGTGGGGCATGTGGGGCATGTGGGGCAGGTGGGGCATGTGGGGCATGTGGGGCAGGTGGGGCAGGCGGGGCAGGTGGGGCATGTGGGGCAGGTGGGGCATGTGGGGCAGGTGGGGCAGGTGGGGCAGGTGGGGCAGGTGGGGCATGTGGGGCATGTGGGGCAGGTGGGGCAGGTGGGGCATGTGGGGCATGTGGGGCAGGTGGGGCAGGTGGGGCAGGTGGGGCAGGTGGGGCAGGTGGGACGACGGAACTGAGGGAGGGAGCACGAGCAGCAGGAGGGAAGGGAGTAAAGAAAGAGGACGGAGACGAAGGTGTCTGAAACAAGGCCAAGGGGTGCACCAGCAGGGGAGTTGGACGCTTCGGACATATCAGCCGGTGCTGCAGGCAGAGCGGCATCCCGCTGCTGCTGCGCTCTGCGGCGGCCGGAGAGCTGCCACGGTGCCGCGTGAGGATGACGGCGTAACGGCACTGCCTCCTGGTTGCGGGATGAGGGGAAGAGGGGAAGAGGGGAAGAGGGGATGAGGGGATGAGGGGATGAGGGGATGAGGGGATGAGGGGATGAGGGGATGAGGGGGTGAGGGGATGAGGGGATGAGGGGATGAGGGGGTGAGGGGATGAGGGGATGAGGGGATGAGGGGGTGAGGGGATGGGGGGATGGGGGGATGAGGGGTGGACACCCACGGGGCAGCGCAGGGAGGTCAAGGGAGGCAACGAGCAGATAGGAGTTAGGAGATAGAAGGAGGTACGCAAGGGGAGAGGGCACGAGATAGCTGGGTGGAGCATAGGGCGGATGCAAGGAGCACAGGGCGGATGCAAGGAGCACAGGGCGGATGCATGGAGCACAGGGCGGATGCAAGGAGCACAGGGCATATGCAAGGAGCACAGGGCAGATGCAAGGAGCACAGGGCGGATGCATGGAGCACAGGGCGGATGCAAGGAGCACAGGGCGGATGCAAGGAGCACAGGGCGGATGCAAGGAGCACAGGGCGGATGCAAGGAGCACAGGGCATATGCAAGGAGCACAGGGCAGATGCGCTGGAAGAGGAAAGGAGAGAGGCTGTTGGTTGGTCTACCTGGGACAGTCGCCTGGGCCCGGCTGCAGCGGATGCGCAGTGGTACGCTGACAAGTCCCCTGGCGTGGCTCGGAGGACCTGGCGGTTGGAGAGGGGGCCACAGGATGGGAGGAAAGGGGGGGCGGACGCCTGAGTGGAGTGGAGCTTGCAGGGCACTGGTGCGTGCAGAGTCGCATGCCATGCTATGCTATGTTTCGGACAGGCATTGACCGTCATTGCCTGACATGCCAAGATGCAAGGCAGCTGGGGCCACTGCTGCGGGCCTGAGAGCCCCTGAGGACACGTGAGGGTGTTGCCTTGGAAGGGCGGCGTGCGCGGCGGGCGGTTGCAGGCAGCAGCGCCGTCCCTCTTAGGAGCCAAAAAAGGCCGCCTCGTCGTGGATAGAGGCGCCTCATCGTGGATAGAGGCGCCTCATCGTGGATAGAGGCGCCTCATCGTGGATAGAGGCGCCTCATCATGGATAGAGGCGCCTCATCATGGAGAGAGGCGCCTCATCATGGAGAGAAGCGCCTCATCATGGATAGAGGCGCCTCATCATGGAGAGAGGCGCCTCATCATGGAGAGAGGCGCCTCATCATGGAGAGAGGCGCCTCATCATGGATAGAGGCGCCTCATCATGGATAGAGGCGCCTCATCATGGAGAGAGGCGCCTCATCATGGATAGAGGCGCCTCATCATGGATAGAGGCGCCTCATCATGGAGAGAGGCGCCTCATCATGGAGAGAGGCGCCTCATCATGGATAGAGGCGCCTCATCATGGATAGAGGCGCCTCATCATGGAGAGAGGCGCCTCATCATGGATAGAGGCGCCTCATCATGGATAGAGGCGCCTCATCTTGGAGAGAGGCGCCTCATCATGGAGAGAGGCGCCTCATCATGGATAGAGGCGCCTCATCTTGGAGAGAGGCGCCTCATCATGGAGAGAGGCGCCTCATCATGGATAGAGGCGCCTCATCATGGAGAGAGGCGCCTCATCATGGAGAGAGGCGCCTCATCATGGATAGAGGCGCCTCATCATGGAGAGAGGCGCCTCATCATGGATAGAGGCGCCTCATCATGGATAGAGGCGCCTCATCTTGGAGAGAGGCGCCTCATCATGGAGAGAGGCGCCTCATCATGGATAGAGGCGCCTCATCATGGAGAGAGGCGCCTCATCATGGAGAGAGGCGCCTCATCATGGATAGAGGCGCCTCATCTTGGAGAGAGGCGCCTCATCATGGAGAGAGGCGCCTCATCATGGAGAGAGGCGCCTCATCATGGATAGAGGCGCCTCATCATGGATAGAGGCGCCTCATCATGGAGAGAGGCGCCTCATCATGGATAGAGGCGCCTCATCATGGATAGAGGCGCCTCATCATGGAGAGAGGCGCCTCATCATGGAGAGAGGCGCCTCATCATGGATAGAGGCGCCTCATCATGGAGAGAGGCGCCTCATCATGGATAGAGGCGCCTCATCATGGAGAGAGGCGCCTCATCATGGAGAGAGGCGCCTCATCATGGAGAGAGGCGCCTCATCATGGATAGAGGCGCCTCATCATGGATAGAGGCGCCTCATCATGGAGAGAGGCGCCTCATCATGGATAGAGGCGCCTCATCATGGATAGAGGCGCCTCATCATGGAGAGAGGCGCCTCATCATGGAGAGAGGCGCCTCATCATGGATAGAGGCGCCTCATCATGGAGAGAGGCGCCTCATCATGGAGAGAGGCGCCTCATCATGGATAGAGGCGCGTCATCATGGAGCGAGGCGCCTCATCATGGAGAGAGGCGCCTCATCATGGATAGAGGCGCCTCATCATGGAGAGAGGCGCCTCATCATGGAGAGAGGCGCCTCATCATGGAGAGAGGCGCCTCATCATGGATAGAGGCGCCTCATCTTGGAGAGAGGCGCCTCATCATGGAGAGAGGCGCCTCATCATGGATAGAGGCGCCTCATCATGGAGAGAGGCGCCTCATCATGGAGAGAGGCGCCTCATCTTGGAGAGAGGCGCCTCATCATGGAGAGAGGCGCCTCATCATGGAGAGAGGCGCCTCATCATGGAGAGAGGCGCCTCATCATGGATAGAGGCGCCTCATCATGGATAGAGGCGCCTCATCATGGATAGAGGCGCCTCATCATGGATAGAGGCGCCTCATCATGGAGAGAGGCGCCTCATCATGGAGAGAGGCGCCTCATCATGGAGAGAGGCGCCTCATCATGGATAGAGGCGCCTCATCATGGATAGAGGCGCCTCATCATGGATAGAGGCGCCTTATCATGGATAGAGGCGCCTCATCATGGATAGAGGCGCCTCATCGTGGAGAGAGGCGCCTCATCATGGATAGAGGCGCCTCATCATGGAGAGAGGCGCCTCATCATGGAGAGAAGCGCCTCATCATGGATAGAGGCGCCTCATCATGGAGAGAGGCGCCTCATCATGGAGAGAGGCGCCTCATCATGGAGAGAGGCGCCTCATCATGGATAGAGGCGCCTCATCATGGATAGAGGCGCCTCATCATGGAGAGAGGCGCCTCATCATGGATAGAGGCGCCTCATCATGGAGAGAGGCGCCTCATCATGGAGAGAGGCGCCTCATCATGGAGAGAGGCGCCTCATCATGGATAGAGGCGCCTCATCATGGATAGAGGCGCCTCATCATGGAGAGAGGCGCCTCATCATGGATAGAGGCGCCTCATCATGGATAGAGGCGCCTCATCTTGGAGAGAGGCGCCTCATCATGGAGAGAGGCGCCTCATCATGGAGAGAGGCGCCTCATCATGGATAGAGGCGCCTCATCATGGATAGAGGCGCCTCATCTTGGAGAGTGGCGCCTCATCATGGAGAGAGGCGCCTCATCATGGATAGAGGCGCCTCATCATGGAGAGAGGCGCCTCATCATGGAGAGAGGCGCCTCATCATGGATAGAGGCGCCTCATCATGGAGAGAGGCGCCTCATCATGGATAGAGGCGCCTCATCATGGAGAGAGGCGCCTCATCATGGAGAGAGGCGCCTCATCATGGAGAGAGGCGCCTCATCATGGATAGAGGCGCCTCATCATGGATAGAGGCGCCTCATCATGGAGAGAGGCGCCTCATCATGGATAGAGGCGCCTCATCATGGATAGAGGCGCCTCATCTTGGAGAGAGGCGCCTCATCATGGAGGGAGGCGCCTCATCATGGATAGAGGCGCCTCATCATGGAGAGAGGCGCCTCATCATGGAGAGAGGCGCCTCATCATGGATAGAGGCGCCTCATCATGGAGAGAGGCGCCTCATCATGGAGAGAGGCGCCTCATCATGGAGAGAGGCGCCTCATCATGGATAGAGGCGCCTCATCATGGATAGAGGCGCCTCATCATGGATAGAGGCGCCTCATCATGGATAGAGGCGCCTCATCGTGGAGAGAGGCGCCTGTAGAGCACTACCTGAGGACACGTGAGGTTGGCGCCTTGGAAGGGCGGTGTGTGCGGTGGGTTGTTGCAGGCGGCAGCGCAGTCCACAAAGACAGCGGCCAGCGCACGCGCGGAGGGCGGCTCACTGCACGCCTTGTGCACACAGTGGGCCAACGTGGCGCATGCCTGGGAGGGGAGGGGGGGAGGCGGGCACATGGTGCAGTGCATGGTGGAAGGAGGAGGCGGGGGGGGGGGGGAGAGGGGGGGTTGTTCCTGCAGTTCTCGTGCATCCACTGGGGCAAAAACGACAGAGCAGCAAGCGCGCAATGAGCGCAGCAAACAGGCGGACTTAGCATGGGTTGGAGGGAGCAGGCCTGAGTGCAACTCACCCATCGATCGGCAGTGCGTGAGTGGCCAAGTGGCGGGCTCCTGGCAGCCGCCCCCCTGGGCAGGGGGCGGCGAGGAGGAGGAGTGTGTTGCAAGGTGCACGGACCCTGTGACGCCCCCACAGGGCGCTGTAAGCAGCGGTTGGAGTGAGCGTCATTCGCTGGAACTCACAGATCGGCAGCGGGTGAGTGGCGACGCGGAGGGCTCCTGGCAGCCGCCCCACTGGGCGAGGGGCGGCGCGGAGGAGGAGTCCGTTGCGAGGTGCATGGACCCTGTGACCCCCCCAAAGGGCGCCGTGAGAATGAGCTCCCAGTTGCCCTCCGGCACCCACACTGTGTCCTCCCAGTCTGCCGCCACCTGAGAAAACACCTGTGGGGACTCGTACCTGCCACAAAGAAGAATGAGAGGGAGGGGCATGAAACGGTTGCGAGAAGGCGAGGGGATGGGAGGGAGCTCAAGAGGCAGCAAGCAAGACTTATCGGAAGGAGGGCTGCCTCATGGGGCAGAGCAGAGGTTCCTCCGGGGGGCGTGGGCTGGGTCAAGCAAGGCAGAGGACGAGGAGAGGAGATGGGAGGGACTTCCAGAGACAGCAAGACTTATCCGAATCAGCAGCGCCTATGGGTCACCAGCACAGGGACGGCAGCCCCTTTGGGCAGAGGTTCCAATCAGACGCCTGGGCCTGGTCCAGCGAGGCAAAGGCGGAGGAGAGGCGCAGCGTGAGAGGGCGCAGCGCGGGCATGGCGCCACAGTCCGCCTCACAGCCAAAGCGGCCGAAGGCGGGGAACTCCAGGGGCCGCTCGCACACACCGTTGCCGCAGGGGGGGTCTTTCCACACCACCTGGAGGGGTTGTGTTGTGTGCGTTGGGGGGTGGGGGGGACGAGGGAGGAAGAGAGGGGGGGAAGGGAAGGGAAGGGAAGGGAAGGGAAGGGAAGGGAAGGGAAGGGAAGTAGAGGACAGAGAGGGAAAGAAGAGAGCGAGCGATGGGTTGATCGGGAGTGGTGCAAGTGAGGGGCGAGGACGGGGGAGAGCCGGCTCGACTGTACGCCCATGTCTAGAGGCGGCTCGACTGTACGCCCATGTCTAGAGGCGGCTCGACTGTACGCCCATGTCTAGAGTGCAGGATAGGCAATGGCGAAGAGATGACGAGGGGATTGAAGCATGAGGGAGGTGCGCAAGGGGATGCAGGGAGTGGGGCACCTGGAGGACGGTGGGGCACCTGGAGGACGGTGGGGCACCTGGAGGACGGTGGGGCACCTGGAGGATGGTGGGGCACCTGGAGGATGGTGGGGCACCTGGAGGATGGTGGGGCACCTGGAGGATGGTGGGGCACCTGGAGGATGGTGGGGCACCTGGAGGATGGTGGGGCACCTGGAGGATGGTGGGGCACCTGGAGGATGGTGGGGCACCTGGAGGATGGTGGGGCACCTGGAGGATGGTGGGGCACCTGGAGGATGGTGGGGCACCTGGAGGATGGTGGGGCACCTGGAGGATGGTGGGGCACCTGGAGGATGGTGGGGCACCTGGAGGATGGTGGGGCACCTGGAGGATGGTGGGGCACCTGGAGGATGGTGGGGCACCTGGAGGATGGTGGGGCACCTGGAGGATGGTGGGGCACCTGGAGGATGGTGGGGCACCTGGAGGATGGTGGGGCACCTGGAGGATGGTGTCGTTGAGCCACGAGTAGAAGTCCTCCGGTCCGTTCAGCAGGTTCGTCTGTGCGCCCGAAACGCCCTGAGACGGTCACCGCATAGAAAAGAGAGGCAAAGAAGCAACACGTTAGAGGCAGGCAGCGCAAAAGTAGTCTCCTGCTATTGTCACACAACACAAGCGGCAGAGCCCCCAGCGCTTCACCACATGATGGGCTATCCGTGGCCAACACCCCACGCCCTTACAAGCCATCTGCGCCCGCGGCATTCGCCGTACTGGTAACAGCACGGGTCTCACGGCGGGCAACAGGACGAGCCTTACCAGCGGCCAGCACGATGTTGTGTTGCGGGGGGTGGTGAACCCCCTCTCTCTCAGCCTCCTGCCTTTGCGGCCCATCCCTGGCGTCTCGCCGGCGGCAGCAGGATGTTGTGGGCGGTGGCAAACATACCGGCGGCAGCAGGATGTTGTGGGCGGTGGCGACCTCGTAGTTGCGGGAGGAGTCGGCCTGGAGGTAGAGCACGGCGAGGTAGAGGCATGTGTAGAGCGAGAAGGCCAGCAGGTTCTTGAAGTTCTCCGTCAGCCACTGCATGTGCTTCACTGACTCGTACATCGCTGCGGGGGGGGGGGAGGGGGGGGAGGGGAAGGGAGGACACGTGAGGGGCAGGAGGGGACAAGTGAGGGGCAGGAGGGGACAAGTGAGGGGCAGGAGGGGACAAGTGAGGTTCTTGAAGTTCTCTGTGTGGGCCGCTGCATGTGCTTCGCCGACTCGTTCATGGCTGCAGGGGGGCGGGGGGGTGAGGGGCAGACTTGCAAGCGGTCGGACAATGAGGGGACCGACTCAAAACTCGACATCACACAATGAGGGGACCGACTCAAAACTCGACTCATCACACAATGAGGGGACCGACTCAAAACTCGACTCATCACACAATGAGGGGACCGACTCAAAACTCGACTCATCACACAATGAGGGGACCGACTCAAAACTCGACTCATCACACAATGAGGGGACCGACTCAAAACTCGACTCATCACACAATGAGGGGACCGACTCAAAACTCGACTCATCACACAATGAGGGGACCGACTCAAAACTCGACTCATCACACAATGAGGGGACCGACTCAAAACTCGACTCATCACACAATGAGGGGACCGACTCAAAACTCGACTCATCACACGATGAGGGGACCGACTCAAAACTCGACTCATCACACGATGAGGGGACCGACTCAAAACTCGACTCATCACACAATGAGGGGACCGACTCAAAACTCGACTCATCACACGATGAGGGGACCGACTCAAAACTCGACTCATCACACGATGAGGGGACCGACTCAAAACTCGACTCATCACACGATGAGGGGACCGACTCAAAACTCGACTCATCACACGATGAGGGGACCGACTCAAAACTCGACTCATCACACGATGAGGGGACAGGGGAAAAAGGGCAGACTGCGATGGGAGTTCGGAGACTGAGGGGAGAGGGGGAGAAGGAAGGCTCGTAGTGGGTGCAGGGAGGGTGTGTGTGGGTCCGTCCGACACTTGCAGACAGGAAGGCACAATTGTGCGTGTCCACCACTTCCACGATCCCTACCCCAACCTACCCCCCCCCGCCTCCCACTTTGAACGCCCCCCCACCCACCTTGAATGACTTCCTTGTCCAGCAGAAACTGCTCCCCCTCCTCGTCCTCCCCTGCGCCCTTCCCATCCCCATCCCCCCACCGCTCCCCCTTCTCCCCACCATCCTCACTGCTGCCACTCGCACGGCCCAGCCCGCTTCCAGGCAACTTCCCATTCTGCTCTATCGCTGCAAAGGCTGAGGCCACGCGGCTTGCCCTCAGCTCGTCCGGGACGCCAGCTAGGCCGTTCCTGATTGGCCCGTCCTTATCCACGTCATCAGCCGCCATGCCATCCTGGTCGTGCTCCCCGGCATCCAGCGATATCATCAGGCTCGAATTCCGAGCCCTAGAAGCTGGAGGCTGGGTCCGAGCCTCATGCACAGGTCCGGCGACGTCCATGTACTGGGACGCGCTGGAGCCACTGTCATCGAACCGGACGTGCGGCTCCAAGCCTGTGTTCAGCGGACCCACATCCACCTCCCTGAGCCACCTTGGTAGGCCCGGAGGAGGGCCGGCGGCAGTGGCAGCGGCAGCAGCCTCCATGGGGTCGGTGATAAGGGGCTCGTGCAGCAACGCGGACTCTCGCGCCGCAGCGTCAAACGTGGAGGCGTGGGAGCCATGGGGGCTGTTGAGGCGCGGGGGGGGGGGGACAGGTTGGGGAGGGCATTGAGTCACGGGGAAAGAAGGGGTGGGGAGGGCATTGAGTCACGGGGAAAGAAGGGGTGGGGAGGGGCGGGGAAGTGGGGAGAGACGGGAGAGCGGTGTGACATGTGGGGAGAGAAGGGAGAGCGGTGTGACATGTGGGGAGAGACGGGAGAGAGGTGTGACATGTGGGGAGGTGACGCGCAGCAGGGCGACGACAGCACGACGGGCAACGATGCAGACGACTCCGAGATACCTCTCGTACTCTCTCGCTGCGGAGCCGTTGTCCCCGCGCCTGTCTGCGCCTACTGCCCGCGGCATGCTCCGCTGCGCGTTTCCCTCCTCCGTCCACTGCTCCGTTATAGGCTCTAACTCGATAGCACTCTCCCGGCCCGTCCCGTGCGGCAGCCATCGCGACATGGACAGCAGCTCCGGCGCCATGATCCCGTCGCCGCCTCGCAATCCCTCGCCGCCGCCGTTCGCCTGCGCAGCTGCCGCTGCCGGCTGCACTGCCGGCGTGGCTCGTCGGTCCCACCCGAGCAGCCGGTGCCAGAACGGCCGTTCCCCCTCCGCGGCCGCCACCTGCGCGCCGTCGTCTGCGGCGCTAGCTCCCAGCCATCGGCGCACTTTGCTCTCTGCCGAATGCTCCTCCGACTCGTCGCCCGACGTCCAATCGCGCGGACTAGCGCCCTCCACCCGATGCTGTCCGTCGCGATACTCCGTGTTACGCGCCGGCCGTCTATCGGGCCTGGGCGAGTTGCCGCTTGAGTGGCACGATTGGTCGGAGCTGGGAGACGGCGGTTCGAAACCAGGCGGTCGGTCGCCGTAAGGGCTGCAGCCGCTTCTGCGACGTCGCTCGCTGGAACCATCTGCGGCATCGTACGGCCGGCCACGGTGGAATGACTGGCTAGGCAACAGCTGAGGAGGCTTACGGGTTTGACGCGCGCTGCGGGAGTGCTGTCGAACCACAGACGCGATCTCCGCCATTCGGCTGACAGGTAAACCAAGAATTCGAAGCCAGAATGCTAACTAGACCCTAAGACGGGATATGGTGGAGATTGGGTGCAAGCCGTGTGTCTTATTTAAAGCCGCCGTCCAAGATTGAAAAAAACCCGAAACCCGTAGAGGTAGTTGAGTGTTGGCGAGTTTAGCGAGGTGGTATGGAATGAACGAAGCACGTGATTGGGTGGGAATTTGGTGGTTTCGCCACGGTGTAATTTGATATTGGCCTTACCGGGTGGGTCCGAGGTGGATGTTGCGGGCTAGGGGGGAAAGGCAGGGGGAGTTTTGTGGGCGGGGTGTGGAAAACATTTTGAAAACCGTCGCTGGCGGAAATTACTGGGCCCCGAGGCGGAATCGAAATCGCCCCTTGGGTATGGGCGCAGTGGCGGGAGTGGGGGAAGTGGGAAAGTGAGGGCGGGGTGGGGCCTGGGGGGGGGGGAACGAAATGGGCTCGGGGGAAGAAAACAAGGCGACGGGAATAAACGCACAGGGAGCATAGTGACAAGTTTCGAGGTTTGCAGTGCACCATTCTGGTTCAAGTTTTTGCACGGCTTTTGGCGAGATCTCGCCTAGCCAGCACTGCCTCACCAGGTAACCTAGCCTTTCAAATTATAAACAGTTGAACCTTTCTGGCTATATTTGTACCGCGGCTTTAAAGCGCGGGGTCTAGGTTTTCCAAAAAGGTGGCAACTGCTCAACAATTGAAAACGGGTAACCAGGGAAGGTGTCGAAAAGAGGGAACGGGATCGCCAAAAACCGAGAATTGGCTCGACAGAAACCCAACGACCAGGCGTGCGACCAGGACCCCTGCGACGGAGCATTTGTTTTGCAACCCAGGGAAATACAGACTCTCAGAAGAAGGCCCGCACCCCAGGCACATAAGCATGCCATAACCCGGAGACAAGCTCCATGGCTCCTACGAACGCGGGGCTGAATCTACTTACCGAGGGAGTACACGAAGGCTTTAGGTCTCCCATCCGCCTCGAAACGGACCACTGTTCCGCCTCGCAGCCATCTCCCCTCCGCCACGCCGCGATCCTCCCTGCCACCCCGACGCGTATCTCCCTTCTGCCTCGACGCGTATCTCCCTTCCGCCACGGCGCGTATCTCCCTTCCGCCGCGTATCTCCCTTCCGCCACGGCGCCATTCCCCAACCTCCGGGCCGCCCATCACCCTTCCGCCACGGCGCCCGCCTCAGTGCCGCCCCTCCGCATTTCTCGTATCCGCCTCTACGCATTTCAACCATTTGCTTTGCCGCCCGTATCCCTTCCGCCACGACACGATACTCCCTCCCGACTCGCCGCGACTGTCCCTACCGCCTCCCCACAACGCTCATCCATCATCCCGACGTCCTTCTCCCTTCCGCCTCGACGCCCCCCTCCCGTCCGCCACGACGTGTTTCTCCAGTCCGCCGCGACGCGTTTCTCCCATCCGCCACAACCATGCGTTACTACAGTCCCCCTCGACGCGTTTCTCCCGTCCGCAGCGACGCGTTTCTCCCGTCCGCCTACACGCGATTCTCCCTGCCGCACCTCCGCGTTTCCACCATCCACCTCGCCGCCCTACGCCCTTCCGCCTCGCCGCCCTATTTCCTTTCGCTCCGCCGCCCCACTCCCTTCCGCCTCGACGCCCTACTCCCTTCCGCCGCGACGCCCTACTCCCTGCCGCCTCGACGCCCTACTCCCTTCCCCCTCGCCGCCCTACTCCCTTCCGCCTCAACGCCCTACTCCCTTCCGCCTTAACGCCTTTCTCCTTTCCCCCTCAACACCAGCGACCTCAGGCCCGACGCACGTCGCCCTTCTCATCGTCGCTGCGCCCCACGATTCCGCAACAGGACGATAAACAAAGGGGGAGCGTCACCGTCCGCCCTGACCCGCGCTGGCCGACTTCCATCCACACGACGCGTCCAAGCTGCCCCGCTCCCACGCTCCTCCATCTCCACCCATCCCGTCCTATCTCCTCTCATCTCCTCCCATACCGTCCATTCTCCCCCCATCTCCACCCATCGCCACCCATACCCACTCATCTCCTCCTATCCCATCCCATCACCACCCATGACCTCCCATCCCGGTCTTCCCATCCCGTCCCATCTCCACCCATTTACACCCATCCCGTCCTATCTCCTTATCTCCTCCCATCCTATCCCATCTCCACCCATACCCACTCAGCTCCTCCCATCCCATCCCATCCCCACTCAGCTCCTCCCATCCCGTCCCATCCCCACTCAGCTCCTCCCATCCCATCTCATCCCCACCGAGCTCCTCCCATCCCGTCCCATCCCCACTCAGCTCCTCCCATCCCGTCCCATCCCCACCCAGCTCCTCCCATCCCGTCCCATCCCCACTCAGCTCCTCCGCATGATTTGTGCATCTCTGGGAACAACCACTTGCTCGGCGCGCGAGTTGTATTGTCCCACGACTCTATGGACACCCTACTCCATACCTCTCTCATAAAAGATTTTTTCCCCGACTTGGGATTTAATCCAGCAACCCCACCTCCCACATCCCGTAGCCAGGCCCATAGTTCTCCTTTTGTGAATAGCAATAAATCCCCACAACACTTGACATCACTAACCCGTATGTTCTTTACCCGCGCCTCAACAATTTTTTTTTACGAACAATTTGACTAGGGACCTGGCCTTGTGCCATGTATCCATCTGCCGCTCGAAACCCTCCCAATCTGCCACCCTCTTAAACGACCCCCCCTGGTCACAAATGATTCCCTTTATTTTAAAATCCCAACCTTGCAAGTGTGCAACGCCCCGGGAAACCGCTAAACCCTCCAACGACTGTGGCGGAATACCCTCGATATACCTGTTCACTGTGACTTCATGGATAACCTTTCTAGTAGCAGGGTGTAAGAAAGAAACCGTGCACCGATTTGCCTCTCTAGGGTGCGACCATCTACCATCCACCGTGATCCACACACCTCCGTCTGCATCCGTGAGCATGGCCGCACGTGCCACCTCCATGGAACGGGTAGCTTGGCTCTCCACCACACCCCACAATCCTGTCGGGCCCTGCATGTATTGGCGGTACATACTCTTTCCGATCGGCTTGATCCCGAGCTTACGACTGACTTCCCAGATTTGGTGGAACCCAATCCCTGCCAGAGCAAGCGCGGCAGCCCACTTTGGTTTTAAACTCGTCGACTTGGGCCCTCTTCTAGTTGCTGTCTGCACCGCTTTCTCCTGTTCAGAACTCCAAAACTCACGTAAGTGGCAACACTTACTGCACACCCATGCAAATCCCATACATACCCATGTGATCTTCCACAAATGGAACACCATGTCACCCACGCAACCAACCGCTGGGCAGCCACCAATTGTGACTAATGAGAAGAATAGGATGAGCAGTCGCGGATCTAGAAGACATACTGTCCCTGCTGGTACGCGATCCGGTGTCCTCATCTCAAACCAACCTTCTAGTGCCTCTCCCCAGCCTCTCCCACGTACCCCTCGTCGTGGTGTGCCATCTCTGTTGTAGGGGCCCAACATGGGGAAGACGAGAGGGGGCGAAGGAGCAACAACAAGATATTGAGGAAAGACTGGCTTATTGGATCTCCGTGCGTCAACTCAATCTAGGGGGGGCAGACTGTTAGTGATAGCGCTCAGTAGTAGAGGGAAAGCCGCGAAGTGCGATGGGTCGCACGTACCTGACTGTGGCCGGCCTGTCCCTCGTGGGGCCATAAGAGACCAAGGGTGCACCCGCTCCTGCGAGTACGTCCTCTGCAGCACCACCTCCCGTCTGCTCAACCGCCCACCCGACACCTGCAACACCATCTTCCTGCTGCATGTTCTCAGCATGAGCTCTAACATGGGGCACATCCCTGCCTGACCAATTGCCTCCACCAGAGTCTCCCTTTCACCCCCATCCCTCTCAAACCTCCCCTTGCTCCTCTCCCCCTGCAGCAGGTCGGGCATGGATTGCAAAGGCTCTATGCGGGCCACCTGTGGGTTTGCGGCAAGACCTGCACGTATAGTGCCAATGCTCGACACCCCTGCTGGGGTGCTTTCCATCATTGGAGTACCCCCATGCATGTCAATTGGTCGCTCTATGGTACCCACCCCTCCTTCCAACCCCTCTTGACATTGCTCCCCCTCTCTGTTTGATGCTCCTATACCTGACCCCCCGGTCCTCTCCTCTAGTGGGGCGGTGGAGGCTTGCATGGGCTCCCCACAGGACCCTAAGATGTGGCCTATTGTGGGTGGGCGGTACGATAAGGAAGGGCGGATTGGAGGGATGGGAGTGATGAGAAAGTATGAATGAGGAAAGCATATGGGGGAGGGTTGCCTGGCACGGGTGTAGGATGCCTCAAACCCAGTAGTCCAGGCTAGACCTTCCGCCACCCACAACCCTACCTCTTGCCTTGCCATTGCCTCATACTCCGTGCCCTGACTCAGGCCGCCATGCGAGAACCCTATGGCTGGCACCAGGCGCTCCTACTTGTTCCGCACCAGCCGTGGAAAGTTCCAATTGAACTTTTGTCGTTGCAACTCGAGATGCCCATCTATGACATCCAGCGCATCCTTTACGTCGAGGCTTGGGACAGACGTGGGTGTGCGAAGAGAGGGTTTGAGAGGGGGGTGGGAAAAGAGGGGTTGAGGGCGGCGAAAGAAGGATTGGGGATACACTGCTATGGTAGAGGCCGTTTTACTGCCCAACGCTGTGGGCCAATGTGTCACCCATGTGTACATATCGGTGTGCACAAAAGCGGGTGGTTGCGCTATCCCACTCTACACGTGACTAAGTGGCTTACCGTGCGTGGCGGCAGCCGCCTTCATTTTCTTCAGGCCGTCATCCCCTTCCTTAAGCAGCACCCACAGCACATCACTAAAAGATGCTTCCTTGTCCCCCCTCATGAATGAGGTCAGCCCACATCGCAGGAAAGCTATGAGGGTCACTAGGTGGACACTAACGGCAAGGTTCCATTTGGCCTAATGCCCTGCGAGTATCTCCTAGAGCTGGGCAGGGTATTGGTCATCTCCCGCATCTAGTTTGGGAGATGGGGTGGTTCGCATTTGGGAGAGCGAGAGGGGGTTAGGGTCACGTGCAGGTTCATCCCTTGTGGGAGCCTATTTGGCATTTGCTCGCCTCTGAATCAAGGGGGCGTAGTGTGGTTGGGGGCCGGACAGCTAGTATGTGGAGCTAGGCAAAGGTGGTGGGCATGCGGAAATCTTTGGGGTGGCAAAAGGAGTACACTGGACAGCAATGGGGTTAGGGCTGCCTCGTAACGGAGTAGCGATATGGGACGCTCCTGAAACATAGGGGAGGGGGGGGGGGGGGGGGGGGGGGGTTTGTGGAAGGAGTGGGATGCTGCGCAAGCCATGCTGTCCAAACAATGCTACCCAAGCCACGCTGGCCAAACCATACTGACCAAACCATGCCGCCCAAGCCATGCCGCTCAAGGGATGCTGCCTAAGCCATGCTGCTCGAACCATGCTGCCCAAGCCATGCTGTACAAGCCATGCTGCCCAAGGGATGCTGTAGGAGTGGGATGCTGCCCAAACCATGCCTCCCAAACCATGCTGCCCAAGGGATGTTGCCCAAGCCATGCTGCCCAAACCATGCTGCTCCAGGGATGCTGCCCAAGCCATGCTGCCCAAACCATGCTGCCCAAGCCTTGCTGCCCAAGGGGTGCTGCCTAAGCCATGCTGCCTCACGGGATGCTGCCCAAACCATGCTGCCCAAGGGATGCCACCAAAGCCATGCTGCCCAAGGGATGCTGCCCAAACCATGCTGCCCAAGGGATGCTGCCCAAGCCATGCTGCCCAAACCATGCTGCCCAAACCATGCTGCCCGAACCCTGCAGCCCAAACCATGCTGCCCAAACCATGCTGCCAAAGGGATGCTGCCCACGGGAAGGGAAAGGGGGGGGGGGGGGGGGGAGGGGGAGTGGGATGGGCACGCCATGGTGGGCTAAAGGCAGTGGCCGAGATTGACAGCACCCCACCAACATATGGGAAGGGTTCGGGAAAGAGCGGGACCTGCACGGAACAGGGGGGTAAAGGCACTATGTGAGGATGAGAACAAATGGGAGATGGACCGCCAAGGGTAGGATGAACCTGAAGCTGAGGGATAACGGTAGTCGGAGTGTTGAGAAACAGCACTAAATCACAGGGGAAGGGTGGAGGGCAAGAGTGGTACGGGCTCGAAATAAGGGGGTAAAGGTAGTGACTGAGAATGATAGTAGGCGACGCTACAATGGGGAATGGGATGGGGACAGAGGAATATGAAAGCTTCGAAGGGGTAAATACTGCACGCCAGGGTGGAACTACACCCTGCAACAAAGGGGAGAGGGAGGTGGCTGAAGTTAAGGGTTAGAGGCAGTGGGAGTGTTTATAAACACCCTAGGCACGAAGTGGTAAAGGGTGGGGGAGGGGGGGGGGGGGGGGGTGCGCTTGAAACAGGCAGTGGCTGAAAATGATAAAACACCTGCAGCATTGGGGAATGGGATGGGTCAAGAGAGGGACATGAAGCTGCCAGAGGGGCAAATGTGTTGATAATGGGTGGGTAACACGACATCGTTGGCTATCATTATGTATAGCTGTATTACACATAACTCCTATTCCCGCGTCTCACCCCTATGGTTTGGCGTGACCATGACGAAACGAACATATGTGCCTACGGAGTAGCATAGCCATCTATATGGGCCTTATACAAAAGTCCTATAAGTATCAATTATTTTTCATTGGTGATATGCGCCCACCCCTCAACATGCGCCCATCACCTACCAATCACGGGAAATTACCCTTTCACCTGATGGCCCATTCACTGGGGTTTTGTGGCACATGTGACACCGCGGCGGCGAATGTATCCATGCAAAGGAGCTTTAAGTATCCACTTAAAGGCCCATTCTCCTGTGGCGAAGACTAGCGAATATTGTGTGCGCATTACGCCCACGCGGTTCGTCGAAATCGGGGTTGAAAGGTGCGTACCCGGTGTACGCCAAGGCACTCATCGTGAACAAAACGAGTAATACGGCCTACGCCACCCCACCTTAAATCCCTAGTGCTGCTCCGTTTTCCAGTTTGCCCGTTGGTCACCGCCCCTTTCGTCGTACTCCGGCTTTCCTTGCACAAATGGTTGTTCGGTCCCACTTGCTGGGACTTCCTTCTGAAAGGACAAGGTATTTCCTCACCGCGTGGTCCAGATAATGTTTTAAACGCGGCTGTGCTTGTGCAGCATACACAGTGCGCAACACACTGTAACAAGGGGCATCAAGTTTCGACTGGTTGCCCCCCTTCATGAAGATTCCAAGGGCGTTACAGACGCTCTGATATTTGGGGTGGCGGAACAATTGGGGTCGTGTCAGAGTGCTCACGGTTTCCCTGGTGGGAGATGTCAGGACAGGACTTGTTTGTAGGAAGTGTCATCCTAAAAAAGTGTCATCCGAGAATGCTGGAAACCCATCGCAACCGTTATTCGGAAACCTCAACGGTTACGATGGGTCCCCAACATTCTAAGATGCCACTTTTTCGGGAAATGTATTATAAAAAGATGCCCTCAAAGGTGGCACTGAATAATTGTGAACACGCCGCGCCGAGGTGTTTCCACGCGTGTCCCAAATGTTCGTGATTTCTCATACCCCACCCAACTTTTCTAAGTAGACTTTCAAGCGATCTAGGACTTAAAACACCTACTTTACCACAATCAGCCGTACGTTTGGGACACGCCCTTGGCGATGTATACCGTAATTCACTAGACCTGGAGAGGGCAAATAATGACATAGGTTAATTCCGGTCGGGCTGGAACTGTTGAAAGGCTGGCATTTGAGGTCGAAGTGAGAACCTGTTGTGGTTTTGCTCCTGGAAGTCTTAAACGAGTTGTTGGCAGCAGGTCTCTCGCTAACAGGGTAATTACCCTTAATGTAGAGAAAATATAAATAAACGTTCGAGTGATTCCGTTTTTTTCTGATGCGATTTTTTCCCCCGAATCCGTCCAGCTTACGGTACAATTTCGTGCGATTCCTTAGCCTAACGAGTGACTTTTTTCCGAATCCGTACGGACTATACTTATAACAGGGCAATCTGTAGGGTGGTAGCGACCCCCCCTCCTCTACCCCACCCCCCCACCCCCCCAGAGCCACCCCACCCCCCACCCGCGTTTGATTCCTTAGGGCATGTCCCAAGAGTAGCCGAATTTGTAGCGGCCGATTCCTTTCGGTAACGGGTTGTTTCGGAGGAATTCCGTCTGTTAACGGGTAATCCATAGGCGATTCCGTCCCCTTCCGGAATGCCCTGGGGCTTGGCGAGAGGCCTGGTTGGCAGCAAGCTGAACATCTTCGTCGACGTCCTGTACTTACACAGTCCAGTTTCTGGGTAGAAAGAAAGAAAAAGGTAAAGACGCGGAGGAACATGCACCTGTACCCTGTTAATGTCTGTTCCGAAACAGTTGGACTTTCAATCCCACCCACCAGGTTCTCAGCATGAATCGTGTTGACACTGAACTTGATTGGCTGCAGTCTATACGAAAGCGAACTGTCGAATTGAAAATCGAACATTGCCGGATTCAGAGCTGTGAGGTCGCGCAGGCAAGTTTTCTAGCGCATGAGCGAGATCATGTAACCAGGTGACAGGGCTTACTGTAGATTTTCCGTTTGCCTCGGTTTGACCGTTTCCTGGTTACAGGCCCGAAACATTGTGCATTACACGTCAACAAAATAGGAGAAACGGTGTAAACCATCCACATTTCTCTGCCAAACCCCGCCACACTGTTCCATCCTTCCGTTCCGCTTCTGTGATGCTTTATGCTTTGTAGTGTATGTAACCGACCTAGCTTCGAGGGGGATGGAAAACTGTTGTGCCGTCCAAGAGCAGGGGAAGGTCGTTTCGGGTGGCTGGTCCAGATGAGAAAATACTATTTGTTCACGCGTCCCCAAATACTGTACGTCCACCGTTTGCATCCTAGCTCTAAATACTGCCCGCCCGACTGAGGTGGTGTGGCCTCCCACACTTCAGAGGTGCTATGTCACACATGCTGTCCAAGCTTTACGTGTATGGACCTATCTCAGATGAAAGTTTTTTCTCGTGTCAGGCGCTTCGTGTCAAGGTTAAGCGCTGAGAAGTTGAATCTCTACCGTAGGAAACGTGACGAGAAGTCGCTAAACGAAGCTATTACGCAACCTCAAATTCCTTCAAGTACAGCAAGATGTTCTGCAACTAGCGACCACACCTTCCTCAGTAGCAGTAGGGTTTGTAGAAGCGACCCAGAATCAAGTTCACAGGGCAGCCCGAGGAAAACATTTTGGACTCCCCCATCAGATGCTGAGCAAACATGGTGATGGAGTCGTCCAGCAACAGTCGCCCCCTCCAATTCGCCTCCGCGTCATCCATTGGGGAGGCGCCCTTCCTACTACTAGTAGTGCTAGTGAGCGCCCCCATCCTACTAGTGCCTCGCCATCCCTTCGGATGGTTCGCCTTTCCTGACGAAGTCTTGAGCTTACCCTTCCACACCCAAAGCGAGGGCTCGCTCCTCCAGATTCCTCGAGTGGTTTTTGCTGTAACTGTCAGCTCTACCACTCTCACCGTGACACTAGTAGTAGAGTCTTCCACCGCTAGCGGGAGTGGGAGGCGCACTGGTCGCCATGATGACGACGCGGCGCCTGTGCATGGTGGCCGCGGCCGTGCTCGCCGTGGTGCTGTCCAGTCAATTCCACGCCGTCGCTAGTGTCGCCATAAAGCCCGATCAAGGTTGGAACCCTACCCACTCATATGTCCCTCAACGTGTCACAAAATGTGGATCTCACCTATATTGTAGGTACGTCACAAAAATGTGGATCTCTCCTATATTGTAGGTATAGTTGTTCGTATAGCAAGGCTACTCCGTAGCAGACGTACCTATGCCGTACCTACTGTATACCTTCTCCGTATTTCTGATCCTGGTATTTTGGGACGTAGTTGTTCGTATAGCAAGGCTACTCCGTAGCAGACGTACCTATGCCGTACCTAGTGTATAGCTACTACGTATTTTGGTCCTGGTATTTTGAGACGGTATACTTTGGCACTCCCAGGATCACAGCATGCTACATTCTGACAGGCTAGTGATTCGCCACCGATTTCGTCCCCATTCCAACCTACTAGGCGTCCCTTCCACACCCCCCGCTCCGCTTCCTTGCGCCGTTCCCGGCCCCCACCCCTCCCCCTCACGCCGCTTGTCCGTGCTGCCGGCAACAGTGCAAGCGCTGATGGCCATGAAGTCCGCCATGAGTCTGCCGTTCGCCTCGTGGGACTCCGCCGCCCCCGAATGCACCTCGTGGCAAACGTTGACGTGCAACAGTGCCGGCGATGTCGTGTACATGTAAGCGCCATCTGACTGCCTCATTGCGTTGCAACCTTAGCAGCTCTCAAGTGACTGGTTAACTTTTTTTTTTCCTCCAGGGACTGCAGCCTCACATAAGCGGATCATCTGGTTGCTCCACGTGGCAGGTTCTGGAATGAAATTGGCATCGTGCGCAAGAGCTTCCCCGCTGACATCAGCAAGCTCACAGGCTTGACAAAGCTGTAAGTAGAGACTGACAGCAACCCTTCCCTTCCTGCTCTGATTGATTTGTTCGCTAGGCGCCGCTTATCATTTTTGCTGAGTGTATGGATGGCACAGGAGGGCTCGAGCGGAATGTGCCATGCTTGCATGAATCACTGAGCCAGTTCTGTGCTCAGCGCTGATGGTCGCTCACCCTACTCATGCCCGAAGGCAGCCTGAGATGCAGCGTGTGTGGGTTCCATGACCGTGTGCCATGACCGTGTGCCATACCGTGTGCCATCATGACCGTGTGCCATGACCGTGTGCCATCATGACCGTGTGCCATGACCGTGTGCCATGACCGTGTGCCATCATGGCCGTGTGCCATGACCGTGTGCCATGACCGTGTGCCATAACCGTGTGCCATCATGACCGTGTGCCATCATGACCGTGTGCCATGACCGTGTGCCATGACCGTGTGCCATGACCGTGTGCCGTGTGCAGGTGGATGATCCGCGGCCTCATCGACGGCGACATCGGCAAGTTCGTCAAGCCCTTCAGCACGCTCATCAGCTTGGATACCTTGTGAGTACTACCGTCAAGTCCAGTCCAGCAGTTGTCCTTGAGCCCCGTGTGAGCTGTAGAGCTCCATCTATGGCCTCTCTCTTAAACCGCGGCCTCGTATGGCTCGTGCTAATCTGTCTCCTTGTTTCTGTCTCCTTGTTTCTGTCTCCTTGTTTCTGTCTCCTTGTTTCTGTCTCCCTCTTGCAGGAGCTTGCAATACAATTGGTTCCATGGGACTTTCCCAAGCGTCCTGTTGACCCTGCCCAAGCTTACTGATTTGTAAGTACATCACCTCAAGGAAGAATTGCCGTCACCATCTCATCTTTCTCAAGTCCCTTCACCCCCGAACTTTGTGTTTCTGTTTGTATTCCTCCCTTTCCCCCTCGCCCCCCTCCGTGTATTGGTAGTAGGGGCGCATCAGAGCTGTGCGGCCCATGGCAGATGACATCCCCTTCGCTTTCCCCTTGACGGATGCCCTGCGGAGCGCAGATGCCCGCACAGATGGGTGCATAGATGGGTGCACACATGGGTGCATAGATGCCCTACCACACACACACGCCTACCTGGTACTGGCTGTTGCCTCGCATCGTCTGTGTGTGTGTGTGGGCCTCACTCTCTCTCTCCCTCCCTCCCCTTTCCCCAATTTCCGCGTCCCCCCTCCTCTATTGTTGGCGGTCTTATCGCGGCGCCCCACTCGCGCCAAACACGTGTGTGCCGTGCCGCCGCACAGGAACCTGGGGTCCAACCTGCTCTACGGCCCGTTGCCAGCCGCTGCCAGCAAGTTCGTGTGGCTCACCATCTATGACAACTGGTTCACGGGTCCCGCGCCCACTGGGCCCTTTGACCTGTGCGACGTGTCGACCAACTGCCTGGGGTACGCGGAGCAGGGCAGCTGCGTCATCCGGTCGCGCAGGAGTGTCACCGACTGTGCCATTTGCGGCAGCACCAATGGCACTGGCCGTCTGTGCGGCATTGGGGAGGCGTGCGTGGGGGACACGGACACTGCCATTTCCACCAGGCGTCCACGGGGATACAGCCCAGCGCTGTTCAAGTGTGTCGTCAGCTTCCCCACCATGGACGCCGGGGACGGTCAGTGCTCCTTCCCCTGCTCCTTCCCGTGCTCCCTCCTCCTGCTTCGCACCCAAACCTGCCCTTGCTTCACACTCTTCCCTACGCTTGCCTTCCCTCCCCTCCCCTCTCCCCCCCCCTTGCGCCCATCAGCGGCGGCGCTGCTGAGCATCAAGGCGGCCATGGGGCTCACCTTCACCAGCTGGACCGTCGACACTCTGTGCCGCGTGGAGGGCTCCAATGCCGTGGCCGTTACGTGGGAGCGGGTCAGCTGCACCGAAGATGGCCGTCTCTTCATGATGTGAGTGGACCCGTGGCGTCACGCCGCATGCGAGTGCAGCCGCGCAGGCAGCGCGTGAGTGCAGCCGCGCAGGCAGCGCGTGAGTGCAGCCGCGCAGGCAGCGCGTGAGTGCAGCCGTGCAGGCAGCGCGTGTGTGCAGCCGCGCAGGCAGCGCGTGAGTGCAGGCTGCATGTGCTCCAGGTATCCGATGCCTCTGCTTTGCTCACCGCCATCTGCTTCACGCTTTGTCTCACCCGTCCCTTTGCTTCTTCCCTGGGTGTGCCTTAAACCTTTGGCAGCAACCTGGACGCCTTGAGTCTCGTGCGAAAGAGCTTCCCGTCGGACATCACCAAGCTCACCACGCTGGGCGTTGTGTGAGTGCGCTCGCTAGGCTACGCTTCCCCTGCTGCTGTTTTGGTTCCGACGATGGTGTAACTTCTCTGCCTGTCTGGCAGGCCTGTCCACGCCACAGGGTTTCGGTTTTAGGGCAAAGGAAATGAGGTGTGCGGGCATGCGTGCGGGCAGGTCGGCGTGCGTGCATGCGTGGATCTTGAAGTGTGCTGGCCATTTGAACGCCGCGCTGTGAGCGCAGGCTGACCCACAGAGTGTGTCTCTCTGCCGTGCGCAGGTGGATGCCGTGGAACTTCATTGACGGCAGCCTTGAGGCCTACGTCAAAGATTTCACTGCGCTCACCAACTTGCAAGTCTTGTGAGTGTCGACGTGAAAGCCAAGCGGGCACTGGGTATTCAGCTTCTGCTGGAATGTGCAGCTGCTGTGAGATTGAAAGGCATGTGGGTGTCTGCTATCGTGTGTGAGGGCCATGTCAGAAGTAGCCGTAACTAGGTCGCGTGTGTGTTGAACCTGCACCTCCTTCCTTTCTTCTTCGTGGGTCTCCTCTCTCCACCAGGGCCATGCAGTACATGTACTTCTCGGGGTCGTTCCCCAGCGTGCTCCTCAACCTGCCCAGCCTTACCAACGTGTGAGTATTCACTGGCCTTTCTCAAGCGCTCCTTGTTCGTACAGGCCTCTGGTAGAAGGGGCGGAGGCCTCCGACCCCTTCACCACGACCCGTGTATTTTCTTGCTTTCATACCCTAAAGTCCTAAACCCTGACTCTCGCATTGCAGGGCGCTCCGCTACAACTACCTCACGGGTACTCTCCCCGCGGCCATCACCAAGATCAAGAGCCTGGACGTGTACTCCAACTACCTGGTGGGCAGCATCCCCACGGGCACCTGGACTGGCTGCAACAGCGGCTACAACTGCTTCGCCAGCACTGGCAACTGCGCCGGCTCCCAGCGCTACACCTGCGCCATCTGCGGCAGCACCAACGGCGCCGCCCCGCTGTGCTCCGGCTGGCCGTGTGTGCCCGACGCGGACGCGCGCATTGCCGCCAAGACCAACAACTACGGCTCTGAAGCGGCGCTCGTGTGCAAGTACCTCTACATGAATGCTGGCGATGGTAACGCTCCCACCCGGCCTAATGTGTCGCTGTCCTGCTACCTGCTGCTGGGGCATCACCTCCGTGCCCCCCCTCGCCCTCCCCCTGCTCTACAATCCGCCCGCCTCTTCTGAACACCCACGGCTCTGGATGCCCGACTCTCTTCCCTCTCCACCCCTCGCCTTCCCGCCCCGCCCCGCCCCTCCCCCTGCGCCCATCAGCGGCGGCGCTGCTGAGCATCAAGTCCGCCATGGGGCTCACCTACACCAACTGGGCGACCACCGTTCCGTGCCGTGTGGAGGGCGACGCTGTGACCACATTCGAGTGGTCCAGCGTCACCTGCACGGCTGACGGCCGCCTCTACATGCTGTGAGTGCGCTCGTGGAGCCCGTCGCCTGTTGCTGGCTCGTCTCCATCCAAAGCTCCGTCTGCCGCCTCACTCCTTGCCTCATCCGCTTTCTCGCCCCGCCCTGTGCGTGCGTGTGTGCGTGCGTGTGTGCGTGCATGTGCGAGGCGCAGCAACCTGGACTCCGCGGGCCTTGTGCGCAAGAGCTTCCCCTCGGACCTCACCAAGCTCAACACTCTCGCCTCGCTGTGAGTGCTCTGGCTATGCTGCAACTGTTGCTGGTATGCCTCGATAAACCCGAAGCCCTAAGCCCTGGTGGTATGTATCGTCTGACAATGGTATGCTCCGACTCTCTGGCAGGTCTCCCTGCGCAGCAGGTCCGGTAGGGGTGAAGTGAGCAGTGCGGTGCGCTGTGAGCATGAATCCGTGGGTCGGCAGGCCTGTTCGGTGGCAGGCGCTAGTGACCCACCATAGAGCGATGGCAGATTGACCCTCAGCGTTCTCCTGTGCTCTGTGCAGGGCGATGCCGTGGAACTTTCTGGATGGGAGCCTCGAGGCGTACATCAAGGACTTCTCTGCGCTCACCAGCTTGAAGACCCTGTGAGTGTCGGCTGGAAAGCCCCATAGGTGTTTGCTAGTAATTTTCAGCTAGTATGTGCGGAATGTGGTTGTGCGCTATCTTGCTGGAGGGCCATGCTAGAAGTAGGGGGACCTAAAGCAGCGTCTTAACCTCCGCTGTCATGTGCTGCCTCCTTCTCATGTCCACCAGCGCCATGCAGTACATGTACTTCTCGGGCACATTCCCCAGCGTGCTCCTCAACCTGCCCAGCCTCAATGCCTTGTGAGTACAATGTGCAAGGGCCCTACTTCTCTTCAATGGTCCCAGCAAAGCAGCCAATCACTGCCTTCCAGGCAGCCAATCCGTGCTATTGCTTCCAATGGAGGGCGGAGTACCAATAGCTACCGCCCTTGCTCCCACTTCCCCGCAGGGCGCTGCGCTTCAACTATCTCACGGGCTCTCTCCCCGCCACCGTCACCAAGATCAAGAGCCTGGACCTGTACTCCAACTACCTGGTGGGCAGCGTCCCCACGGGCACCTGGTCCTACTGCAACAGCGGCAGCAACTGCTTCGCCAGCACCGGCAACTGCACCGGCACTCAGCGTTCCGCCACGGCCTGCGCCATCTGCGGCACTACCAATGGCGTGGGCACGTTGTGCCCCGGCACCACGAAGCCGTGCGTGGCGGATGCGGACTCAGCCATCGCCGGCAAGGTCAAGAACTCCGCCGGGTCAGCGCCCATCTTCTGCTACACCGTCTACATGGATCCCGGCGACGGTACGCTCCAGCCCACTCTCTCCGTGTTTCCCTCTGAGCCCTCGCCTTGCCACTCCCTCCCTCCCTCCCTCCCTCCCTCCCTCCCTCCCTCCCCTGCTCAGCCATCTGACCCTTGCGTTGTAACACCCGGCAAGTGATTTGCACTCTTGCCCTCCCAACCCGCTGTCCCCCCCCCCCCCCGCGCCCATCAGCGGCGGCGCTACTCAACATCAAGTCCGCCATGGGGCTTACCTTCACCAACTGGGCCGCCACCAGCGGTTGCCGTCTGGAGGGCGCTGCTGCGAACCCTGGCGAGTGGTCTGCTGTCACCTGCACCGCTGACCGCCGCCTCTACTCGCTGTCAGTGCACCCGCCGCATGATGTGGTGCAGTGCAGCCACTTTGTTTTTGAGGCGCCCACCGCATGATGTGGTGCAGTGCAGCCACTTTGTGAAGCCGTTTGAGTAACAAGCCCTTTCGACTCGCTCTGCTCCTCTCATCTCCAAGTTTACGGGTTTAGGGTTTTTGCTTTAAGGCTTATGGTCCAAACAACTGCCGGTTGTTTCACAAAACCACCAGCTGGCAAGCTGCTCCTCCTGGTGATCTCTGGAGTCGCCCTCCATCCCTCTGTGAAGCCACGGCCGCTCCAGCACGTCAGGCAGGCCATCATGTCCCTGCAGCGAACCCTGCGAGATGACTTTTGAGTCGACTCAAACGTCAGGCAGGCCATCATGTCTCTGCAACGAACCCTGCTGCACACCCGGAATCTGCTTGCTGCCCTTCACTCAACCTCATCGAATGCTCTCTCTGCTGCTTCATTCCTTGCCTGGCGCCCCTCCCTCTCTTGACTCTGCGTGTGCATGCGTGCATGCTTGCAGCTCCCTGGACTCCGCAGGGATCGTGCGCAAGAACTTCCCGTCCGACCTCACCAAGCTCAACACCCTGGCTGTGCTGTGAGTGGGCCGCGCGTGCCGTACGTGCTCTGCATGCTGAAAGTGCTCCGTGCATGCTGCAAGTGCTCCGTGCATGCTGCAAGTGCTCCGTGCATGCTGCAAATGCTCCGTGCATGCTGCAAATGCTCTGTGCTGTGCGTCCCGTGAGTGCTGTGGGCCAGACTCTCAGACCTTCGTTCCTGCGCGCTCCCCCCTGCAGGAAGATGTCGTCCAACTTCCTGGACGGGGAGCTCGCCGGCTACCTCACCTTCTTCTCTGCGCTCTCCAACCTGCAGTCCCTGTGAGTGCCGCCTGCAACCTGCAGTCCCTGTGAGTGCCGCCTCCAACCTGCAGTCCCTGTGAGTGCCCCCTGCAACCTGCAGTCCCTGTGAGTGCCGCCTGCAACCTGCAGTCCCTGTGAGTGCCGCCTGCAACCTGCAGTCCCTGTGAGTGCCCCCTGCAACCTGCAGTCCCTGTGAGTGCCCCCTGCAACCTGCAGTCCCTGTGAGTGCCGCCTCCAACCTGCAGTCCCTGTGAGTGCCCCCTGCAACCTGCAGTCCCTGTGAGTGCCGCCTCCAACCTGCAGTCCCTGTGAGTGCCCCCTGCAACCTGCAGTCCCTGTGAGTGCCGCCTGCAACCTGCAGTCCCTGTGAGTGCCGCCTGCAAGCTGCAGTCCCGGTGAGTGCCCCCGGCAAGTTGAGTCCCTGTGAGTGCCGCCTGCAAGCTGCAGTCCCGGTGAGTGCCCCCTGCAAGTTGAGTCCCTGTGAGTGCCGCCTGCAAGCTGCAGTCCCGGTGAGTGCCCCCTGCAAGTTGAGTCCCTGTGAGTGCCGCCTGCAAGCTGCAGTCCCGGTGAGTGCCCCGTTCAAGCTGCAGTCCCTGTGAGTGCCGCGTGCAGGCTGCAGGCCCTGTGAGTGCCACCTGCACGGTCCAGAGGCCATCGGCTTGAGAGCCAAGTGGGTATCGGCTAGTGAGTTGAAGCGCCATGCGAGTAGCAGGACCTCTTATGGCCTCTGAGTGTTAACCCCTTACCCGTATTGCCCCCTGACGTGATGCCTCCTTTCTTTCCTCGTCCGTATCCCTCTCTCTCTCCACCAGCGCCATGCAGTACATGTACTTCTCGGGGTCATTCCCCAGCGTGCTCACGAACTTGCCCAGCCTTACCAACGTGTGAGTTCAAACGTTCCTTTCCCTCAACGGCTCTTTCCGTCGCCGTTGTCCACGTTCCTTCTAGCCTCCCTGAATGATTCTTGTTTAATGAAAGGTGATTATATCTACCCGTTTAAATGGCTCAGGGTTTAAGGTTTTTGTTTCCATGGCTTTCCCATTCCGTTTGAATCCTTCCTCCAGGGGACCAATCACTGCCCTCCAAGACAGAACCCCAAACCCTATCGTCCTTGTTTCCCGTCCCCATTGCAGGGCGTTACGCTACAACTACCTGACGGGGTCTCTCCCTGCGGCCATCACCAAGATCAAGAGCCTGGACCTATCCTTCAACTACCTGGCGGGCAGCATCCCCGCGGGCACGTGGACCGCGTGCAACAGCACGAGCAACTGCTTCGCCAGCGTTGGCAGCTGCGCCGGCACGCAGCGCGCTGCCACCGCCTGCGCCATCTGCGGCAGCACGGACGGCACGGGCACGCTGTGCACGACGGGCAGATTCTGTGTGGCGGACGCCAACACGTCCGTGGTGGCCAAGGTGCCCAACACGGCCAGCAAGGTGGCGCTTGTGTGCAACGGCCTCATGATGAACTCCGACGACGGTACTGCTCCACTTAACCCATTCTCTTCCGTGTTCCCCTCTCCTGCTCTCTGCCTTCTGCAGACCCATCACCTCCTCCCTCTTCTCGACCCCTCCCCCCCACGTCAACCTGTTCCGCCATCTGCCCCTCGGTTTATGACGCCTGGCGAGTGATTTGCACTCTCCCTCCCCCTCCCCTTGCCTCCCCTTCCCCTGTGCGCCCACCAGCGGCGGCGCTGCTCAACATCAAGGCGGCCATGGGGCTCACCTTCACCAACTGGAACACCACCAACCCCTGTCCTCTTGAGGGCGTCGCTGCCAACCCTGGCGAGTGGGACCGCGTCAGCTGCACTTCTGACGGCCGCCTCTACATGATGTGAGTGCAGCCGGGGAGGCATGGTGTGAGTGCAGCCGGGGAGGCATGGTGTGAGTGCAGCTGGGGAGGCATGGTGTGAGTGCAGCCGGGGAGGCATGGTGTGAGTGCAGTCGGGGAGGCATGGTGTGAGTGCAGCCGGGGAGGCATGGTGTGAGTGCAGCCGGGGAGGCATGGTGTGAGTGCAGCCGGGGAGGCATGGTGTGAGTGCAGCCGGGGAGGCATGGTGTGAGTGCAGCCGGGGAGGCATGGTGTGAGTGCAGCCGGGGAGGCATGGTGTGAGTGCAGCCGGGGAGGCATGGTGTGAGTGCAGCCGGGGAGGCATGGTGTGAGTGCAGCCGGGGAGGCATGGTGTGAGTGCAGCCGGGGAGGCATGGTGTGAGTGCAGCCGGGGAGGCATGGTGTGAGTGCAGCCGGGGAGGCATGGTGTGAGTGCAGCTGGGGAGGCATGGTGTGAGTCCAGCCGGGGAGGCATGGTGTGAGTGCAGGCAGGGAAGAGATGATGTGAGTGCACCTGCGATGGGCTGATGTGTCGCACCTCCATCCACACGCGCTCCTCTGCCTCACTCTGCTTCACCCTTCCCGTGCCTTGCCTCCTTTCATTTGCCGTGGCTGCCCGCAGCAATCTGGACGCCATGGGGCTCGTACGCAAGAGCTTCCCTTCGGACCTCACCAAGCTCACAACGCTGGGCATGGTGTGAGTGCTCTCTGCTGCCACTCTTGGTCCCACTGTGGTGCAAGCCTGCATGTATGCGTGTCTCCCCAAGGCTGAGTGTATGCGTGTCTCCCCGAGCCTGCATGTATGCGTGTCTCCCCCAGCCTGCATGTATGCTTGTCTCCCCAAGCCCGCTGCATGCATGTAGCTGACCTGCAGTGTCGCCTTTCCCCCGCGCTTCGTGCAGGTGGATGCCGTGGAACTTCCTGGATGGCAGCATGGCGGTCTACCTCAAGTACTTCTCCGCGCTCACCAACTTGAAAGTCTTGTGAGTACCTCTTCAAACGCCGTAGTGTGTACTTGCAATAGAGTCCTGCGGTTAGCAGGACTATGGCGTGTTTCCTCTCTCAACTGCGTCTTCGTTTCTGTTTCCCTTTTCTCTCTCTTCCCCCCCCACCCACCCCCCCCCCCCTCCTTCTATGGCAGGGCCCTGCAGTACATGTACTTCTCAGGGACATTCCCAAGTGTGCTCACAAGCCTGCCCAAGCTTACCTCCATGTGAGTAACGCATTTCGTTGTGAGCGGGAGTGTGAGCACAGGAGTGCATGATTGAGCCGAGGACACACCGGCTGTGGAGAGCTGCTTTTGACGTTGACGGGCATTGGCCTACATCGGCGTGTGCCTGACCCAATGGCCCAACTTCACGGCGCGCCTCTTCCCTCAACCCATGCGCGCTGCCCCCCCCTCCTTCTCTGGCCAGGGCACTGCGCTTCAACTACCTGACGGGCACGCTGCCCACCGCCATCACGCGGATCGTGTCGCTAGACCTCACCAACAACTACTTGGTGGGGTCGCTGCCCACCGGCTCCTGGACCTACTGCGAGATCCACAGCAACTGCCTGGCCAGCGCCGGCAACTGCCAGTACTACGGGCAGAGGTCGGGCTGCAACATCTGCGGCAGTGCTGACGGCACGGGCACCCTGTGCACCGTCACGCAGGCGTGTGTGCCCAACGCGGACGCCGCCATCACGAGCCGCACGACGAACAGCTATGGAGGCGCAGGCATGGCGTGCGTGGAGAGGATCATCACCATGGACTCCGATGATGGTCAGTCAGTGCCGTGGCCTCGTACCTCCCTGCCCACCCGTCAGCTCACAGCACCACACCATAGGCTTTCCCCTTTGGGCCCTCTCTGCATGTTCTGCCCTTTCCCTGTCCGCCTGTCTCCTCATCCACCTGGCTTCCTAGTCTTCCTGTAATTTTTGCTCACTCTCTCTGCATTGCTGTCCGTGCATTGCGTTCATCTCCTGTCGTTTCGTCCTCCGTGGCTTCCTCTTATTTCCCACCACTGCGTGTCGCACCCCCTCCCACTGCCCCCTGCAGCGGCCGCCATGCTGAACGTCAAGAGCTCGCTGGGCATGACGTCCACCACGTGGAGCGTGTCCGCGCCGTGCCGCCTGGCCGCGTCCACCAAGGCCATCGCGGGCGAGTGGGTGGGCGTCAAGTGCTCCGATGCCGGCAAGGTGGTGGCCATGTGAGTGCCATGGGATGCGGTGGCTGAAGGGGCCATGGGGAAAGGGTGAAGGGCATTTCGACTGGACCATAATCTGCCACCTGTGCATCATCATCCTGCCACCTGTGCATCATCATCCTGCCAGCTGTGCATCATCATCCTGCCAGCTGTGCATCATCATCCTGCCAGCTGTGCATCATCATCCTGCCAGCTGTGCATCATCATCCTGCCAGCTGTGCATCATCATCCTGCTGTATCCAGCCGCCTGACTGTATCTACCACGGCGTGCTCTCCCTTTGTTGGCCATGCATTGTGATTTGCATTGTGATATGCATTGTGATATGCATTGTGATTTGCATTGTGATTTGCATTGTGATACGCATTGTGATTTGCATTGTGATATGCATTGTGATATGCATTGTAACATCCATTATTCCTTGTGTTGTGCAATGCTCCGTGCCATGGGACATTCACAATGCCTTGCCATCGTACACAGTGCTCCGGGACCCGCAAACCTCAAGGGCACACTCCATGCAGACTTCTCCAAGCTTACCGCTCTGACCACCATGTGAGTTTTCCCCCTGCTCTGCACGCACGATTTGTTTTCACCACGTTCTGAAGGCTTCGGGATATCAGCAGCTGCTCTGCCCTGCCTGTGCCCTCAGTTTATCGAACTTGGGGCCATGGATTGCGGCCACAGCTTTCCACCCTGCTTCCCCTTCTGGCTAGGACCTTAGAAGCACCCTTCTCGTGCTGTGCCTCATACCACTCCACCCTCTGCCCCGCACCCTCTGGCCCAGCGACCTGGAGTACAACGTGTTCAACTACCGCCTCGACTCCTACAGCGCCGTCCTGCAGACCCTGCCGCTCATCAAGATGATGTCAGTGCAGCAGCGCGCCTGCCAAGGGGCTTGGGGATGAGCGCTTGGCGAGGGGCATGGGGATTGGTAGCCGGTCAGCAGGCAGGGGCAAGTGGACCACGTGGTTGTTGGGGTTGGCGCGTCTAGCTTTTGGAACGTTTTGCTTTCATCCGTAACTCGAGCCTGTCATGTTTCGGCAGAAACATCGCCTGTGATGCGTGCAGCCTCTCTTCATCTGCCCTCCACTTGCCCTGCACCCCGTCACAGTCTCTTCGATTACAACTATTTCTACGGGGAGGCCCCCTCGGTCCTCATGGGTCTCTCCACCGTGACCGGCATGTAAGTCCCCTGAACTGCCCCATTCGTTGATGGCACGTAGCACCTCCTGGTCGCTTGCTCATTGACAGGGAAGGAGCTGGTGGATCACTCACGGCCCATCATTGCAAGAATGGGTTTGGTGTGGGGAAACGGAAGGGGCATGCTGCAGCTGCACCGTTTTCGGGTGATCCTGCTCTGCACCTGCTTTTGAGAAGCCCAATGGGCTCACACGGCAAATGGGCTGACTAGAGGCTACTCTGTTGTCCAAAGCTTGCCTCCTCAACGATGCGTCCCCTGCCGTCTGCCTTCTCCTTCCCCTGCCGTCTGCCTTCTCCTTCCCCTGCCGTCTGCCTTCTCCTTCCCCTGCCGTCTGCCTTCTCCTTCCCCTGCCGTCTGCCTTCTCCTTCCCCTGCCGTCTGCCTTCTCCTTCCCCTGCCGTCTGCCTTCTCCTTCCCCTGCCGTTTCCTGTCTCTTCCCCCCGCCATCTCCCTTCCCCCGTGCCCCGCCATCTCGCTGTGCCAGGGGCATGTCGTTCAACTATCTCACTGGCACCATCCCAGCGCTGGGAAGCCAGCTGAAAGCCATTGACATTCGAGGAAACTTCTTCACTGACCTGCCCGGCATCACCTACTCGATCTGCGCTGGCTCGGGCAACTGCCTGGTGGCGCCCTCCAAGTGCACCACCACGGGCACCGTGCAGCGTGATGCACGCGCCTGTGCTGTCTGCGAGTCCACCAACGGTCTCGCCCCCTTCTGCGCCTCGGGTGGAGGGGTGTGCACGCCTGATGCTGCTGCGGCTGTTGCTGCTGGCACCGTTCCCGTGGCTTCACCCGGCACTTTGCCAATGAACTGTGTGGGCGGCGTCATCTACAAGGAGGTCACCATGAAGCAGAGCGCAGGTGAGTGACGGCTGTGTGGGACCCACGCATATCCATTGGTGATGTGACACGTAGCGGCGGGACACAATGGCCTGATCGCTGTGCGTCATGTGACTCTGTTGCACGGGGCAGCGTCCACAGGGCTCGTGCCCCCACTGATGCTCATCACGTGCTCCGTTGGGCCGCACCTCACCTCCGTTGGGCCGTGCTCCGTTGGGCCGCATCTCACCTCCCGCTCCCTGCCCTGTTCCTCCTTTTCCCCCTTGCGCCCCAACCAGCCATGCTGGCCCTCAAGTCCAACCTGGGCGTGACCTACACCAACTGGGCGGCCACTGTGCCGTGCAAGGTCAACGGGCAGAACACCACCAACACCACCTGGAGCGGCGTGCTCTGCGACAACGTTGGGAACGTTGTCAGCATGTGGGTTACCTTCATTGTTGTGTGGGAATGCGCATGTCATGGACGTGGCACATGAGGGGCCATCATTAGCCATCAGGGATGATCAGCCCGTGAAGGATCACCTCTGGCACATCAACTTACAGCCTTTTGTATGTGAGCAGGCATCATTACCATGCTCGCAGGGAAGCATGGCCAGCGTGCTTGACATTGGCAGTGACACACACACGTCCTTGCTTCCTTGCATTCCCCACTGGCGCCTGCAGATCGCTCAAGGCTAATGCACTCAAGGGCTTCATCGGGACCGAGATGACCCAGCTCACCCGCCTCACTTCCCTGTGAGTCGCCCCTGCTCCCCACACCTCGTGGATCATGTGAGTCGCCCACACCTCGTGGCCTCATCCGCATTCTTAAGGTGCCGTGTGTGCGGTTGTTGCAATCCCATGCTGCCATTGTGCGGTTCATCCAATGCCTGTCCTGCCCTGCGTGTCTGCACATGCCTGCTGTGTGCACATGCCTGCTGTGTGCACATGCCTGCTGTGTGCACATGCCTGCTGTGTGCACATGCCTGCTGTGTTCACGTGCCTGCTGTGTCCACGTGTCTGCTGTGTGCACATGCCTGCTGTGTGCACATGCCGGCTGTGTGCACATGCCGGCTGTGTGCACATGCCTGCTGTGTGCACATGCGTGCTGCCCCACAGGGATCTGCGCCAGAACTTGTTCGACGGGCCCTTGTACCTCTTCCACGCCAACATTCAGGGGCTCTATGCTCTCAGGGAATTGTGAGCAGAGTCGAGGGGATGTGAGGAGTCGAGGGGATGTGAGGAGTCGAGGGGATGTGAGGAGTCAAGGGGATGTGAGCCTTGAGCACTGCATGATTGGGTTGGCTGGTCCCCCACTAGGCGTTTCAGCTGGGTCACTTCAGGGGAGCAAGGAGCAAGGAGCAAGGAGCAGCAAGTGAATGCTGTGAATGCTCTGCAAGGGTTCTAGCCTTGAAATCGTGACTGAGTTGCCGTGTCGCACCCATGGTGCTGCCTCGCATCGCAGGTACCTGCAGTACAACTACTTGTATGGCGGTGTGATCCCACAGCTCGTCAACATGCCCTCCCTCAACACCCTGTGAGCCACTCAACCCAACCAAACCCAATCCAACCCTGCCCTGCCCTGCCGTGCCGTGCCTGCTTCCCTCCTTGCCAAGCCTCCTTCCCTTCACCCTGCAGTCGCCCTCCGCCGCCCCCACTCCTCAAACCTACTCTCACATGCACTCGTGTATTGCTGCCCTCCCCAATGCCTCCCTCTCGCATCCCAATCATCCTCCTCCTGCTCGCCCCTCGCCACGTCTCCTGCGCCCACCCGACGGTGCTCCCTGGTGCCACTGCAGGGGGCTCGCGTACAACTTCCTCACTGGAGCCACCTGGCCCGCCATGTCGTCCGTGCTCAAGTGGCTGGACATGCGCGGCAACTACGCCAGGGACCTGACGAGCCACTCCCTCACATGGTGCGAAGGGTCGAGGAACTGCCTGGCCACGCCCTCCAAGTGCGCCAACGGCACCGCAGGCACCACGCAGCGCTCGGCTGATGAGTGCGCCATCTGCGGCACCACCACCGCCTCTGGCTCTTTCTGCTGGGGAGCCTCCACGTTTTGCGTTCCCGATGCTGCTGCCGCCATCAGCGCCAGCACTCTCAACAACGCGTCAACTTTGCGCATGTACTGCAAAGGTGAGGCTGCCAGACCCAACCCGCATGTGTGTGCACCAGGCACGCATCGGGGAGCACCAGTGCCAACCGCACTTCACTCTGTTGAGGCCTCCACGAGTGATGGGTGTGGCAAGATGGCACATGAGGGACGGGTGCAGCGAGATGTACTCGCTCATGCAATCCCTCCGCATCTGCCCTTGGTGCGCCTCCACACTGCCCTTGTGCGCCTCCACACTGCCCTTGTGCGCCTCCACACTGCCCTTGTGCGCCTCCACACTGCCCTTGTGCGCCTCCACACTGCCCTTGTGCGCCTCCACACTGCCCTTGTGCGCCTCCACACTGCCCTTGTGCGCCTCCACACTGCCCTTGTGCGCCTCCACACTGCCCTTGTGCGCCTCCACACTGCCCTTGTGCGCCTCCACACTGCCCTTGTGCGCCTCCACACTGCCCTTGTGCGCCTCCACACTGCCCTTGTGCGCCTCCACACTGCCCTTGTGCGCCTCCACACTGCCCTTGTGCGCCTCCACACTGCCCTTGTGCGCCTCCACACTGCCCTTGTGCGCCTCCACACTGCCCTTGTGCGCCTCCACACTGCCCTTGTGTGCGAGTTGCTTACTCACTTGCCTCTTCTCTCTGTTCTCTGCCTCCTGCTCTCTGCCTCCTGCTCTCTGCCTCCTGCTCTCTGCCTCCTGCTCTCTGCCTCCTGCTCTCTGCCTCCTGCTCTCTGCCTCCTGCTCTCTGCCTCCTGCTCTCTGCCTCCTGCTCTCTGCCTCCTGCTCTCTGCCTCCTGCTCTCTGCCTCCTGCTCTCTGCCTCCTGCTCTCTGCCTCCTGCTCTCTGCCTCCTGCTCTCTGCCTCCTGCTCTCTGCCTCCTGCTCTCTGCCTCCTGCTCTATGCCCGTTTCTGCTCGCTGCCTCGTTGCTCGCAGGTCACACGGTGGTCGGCATGACGCCCTCAGTCAATGCAGGTGGGCGAGCAGCATTTTTCACTGAAGCTTTTCACTGAAGCTTCCATTATTTTGTGTGGTAGCTATGTTTCTTCTCACGAGATACAAATAAAAAGGCAATCAGCAACACCGTCTGTAGGAGAAACTGATAAGGTTTCTGAGAATTCAAACAACACTGACTCTACCTCTGATTCTTGTATGAAAGAGTATGATTAGCAAGCTTCGCATCTGCCGTGCACAATCGCCGCCTCCTTGTCTGCGCACTCTGCCACTCGTATTCACCACCTGTGCCCTGTCCCTTCTCACTTGTTATTCTTCCGCTCTCCCTTTGCTGCCTTTCTTCCTCCCCCTCCCCCCTCGCCGCCATTCTCCCTCCCCATCCCGCCTCCCCGCCATTCTCCCTCCCCCTCTCGCCTCGCCGCCTTTCTTCCTGTGCCAATCGCCAGCCATGCTGGCACTCAAGTCGGCGCTGGGCGTGACTCTGGCCACGTGGGATGCCAGCAAGCCATGCGCCGTGAAGGACGTGGCGCCTTCCATGACCTCGTGGGCCGGCGTGCTCTGCGATATCCTTGGGAATGTCGTCAGCATGTGAGTAGTGGGCAATGGCCCAATGGGCATTACCATGTGAGCGATGGGCATTACCATGTGAGAGATGCAACTTGAAGGGCCTGCAAGGCGCATCTTGAAGGGCTTGTGAGGTGCTATGCTTACGAGGCGTCAGGTGTATCCTTTTCCGAACCCTGCCGTGCATTGCTCCATGCGGTGCCCCCTGGTGTCCCAAACAGCCAAGTGTCAGATGCGAAGCTCAAGGGCACTCTCCCTTCTGAGATGTCAACGCTCACAACTCTCACTTACCTGTGAGTTGCGCCTGCCATGTTCTTACAGCTCTCATTCGCTTTGCCTTGTCAATGCTTTTTATTGTTGCTGCTTCATCCTTCCTCTCTCAGCAACATGCAATGGATGTCCAGAAGCCCCGTTCAGTTCCCTAAGACCTTCTATGGTTCACTGATCCACCTGTGAGCACAATGGCCGCTGCTGCTCCGCCCTCCCCTCACTGCGCCCCTCACAGCAACCTGCAGGGCAATCTCCTCAACTACCGCCTCGATTCCTTCACCTCCTCCCTTCGATTCTTGCCAGTGCTTGCTGACATGTGAGTGCTTGAGGGCGTGAGAAAGAGGAAGGGGGGGGGGGGGAATAGAAATTCCTTGGGGCCGGGAGAGTGAAGGGGGTGTCTTGTGTCACCTGAGCTTCGCTCCCATTCCCATTCGTTTCTCAATGTTTCAACCTCCATTGTTGCTCATGCCTGCACTAGCTGCACCCCTTTTCAGGCTGCTCAATGCCTGCATCATCCCGTCCAGATGCCGCCACTCATTGCCGCCCCCATCCCCTCTGCTCCCATGGCAGCCGCCTGCACTTCAACTATTTGTACGGGGAGATCCCCTCATATCTTGTGGGCCTCCCAAAGCTAACTCAGCTGTAAGTCTTTGCAAGTGGTGCACTGGCCCCTGCTTGGCCCCTGCTAAGCCGCGCCTGCCTGCTGCTTTTCAACATGCGTGCTTATACCCGACGTGCCGTCTTTCTTCCCGTCTTCCCATGCCGTGCACCCAGTCAGTCCTTATGCGCGCCTTTGGCCCTTCAACTCCCCCCCCCCCGGTTGACCCCCTCTACTCGCCAGCGGCGTTGCCTACAACTACCTCACAGGCTCGGTGCCGGCGCTGGCCAGTGGGCTGCGCACGGTGGACTTCACGGCCAACTTCCTCACGGACCTGCCGGCCGTCAACTACACGTGGTGCGGCGCTGCCACCAACTGCCTGCTCGTGCCCTCCAAGTGCACCAACAGCGGCACCACTCAGAGGGATGCGGCCGCCTGCGCCTTCTGCGGGACCTCCAACGGCGTGGCGCCCTTCTGCTGGGGGGGGGGAGGGGCGTGCATGCCTGACGCGGCTGCTGCCATCTCGGCCGGCACGGTGAACAACAATGCGCAGCCCGCGCGCCCCATGGTGTGCGTCGGCGGGTCCGTGGTGCCCATCAAGGACAGCGCAGGTGGGCAGGGAGCGTGCGTCGTCATGTTGGGGCCATCGCTGCATGTTGGGGCCATCGCTGCATGTTGGGGCCATCGCTGCATGTTGGGGCCATCGCTGCATGTTGGGGCCATCGCTGCATGTTGGGGCTATCGCTGCATGTTGTAATGCCTCATCGCTGCATGTTCTCTTGGCAGGTCACAAAACCCGTGCCCCTCAAGCATTGCTTTGCGGGTGAAGAGTCTCACCGCGCTACTAACCCTTTGTCCAGCCGCCCCCCTACCTCTGAGTTGGCTTGAATGCGCATCACCCTCTTGTGTGCCCCCCCCCCCCCCCCCCCCCCCCACCACCCGCTGCCCCCACTATCAGTGATGCTGGCGCTCAAGTCGTCGCTGGGCGCGACGTTCAACAGCTGGTCGGCGAGCGTGCCGTGCACGCTCAAGGGCGCCACGTCGTCTGTGATGACGTGGTCCAAGGTGCTCTGCGACTCCGCCGGCAACGTCGTCAGCATGTGAGTGCTGGGCGTCGACAGCATGTGAGTGCTGGGGCAGGGGCAGCATGTGAGTATTGGGTGTCGTCAGCATGTGTGGATGGGGTGTCGTCAGCACGTGCGAGCATAGAGGGCAGCACGAGCAGGTCCGAGGGCATATGGATAGGTGGGTCAAGTGTTGCTGAGAGACACGCAAGAGCGTGGGTGTGTGGGGTAACTGTGTGGGCATGCCTGCTCATGTCCATGTGCCGCACGTGCCATGTGCCACCACATGCCATGTGCCACCACGTGCCATGTGCCACCACATGCCATGTGCCGCACGTGCCATGTGCCGCCACGTGCCATGTGCCGCCACGTGCCATGTGCCACCACGTGCCATGTGCCGCCACGTGCCATGTGCCACCACATGCCATGTGCCGCCACGTGCCATGTGCCACCACGTGCCATGTTCCACCATGTGTCATGTGCCACCACGTGCCATGTGCCACCACGTGCCATGTGCCGCCACGTGCCATGTGCCGCCACGTGCCATGTGCCGCCACGTGCCATGTGCCACCACGTGCCATGTGCCACCACATGCCATGTGCCGCCACGTGCCATGTGCCACCACGTGCCATGTGCCGCCACATGCCATGTGCCGCCACGTGCCATGTTCCGCCACGTGCCATGTGCCGCCACGTGCCATGTGCCGCCACGTGCCATGTGCCGCCACGTGCCATGTTCCACCACGTGCCATGTGCCACCACGTGCCATGTTCCACCACGTGCCATGTGCCGCCACGTGCCATGTTCCACCATGTGCCATGTGCCACCACGTGCCATGTGCCATCACGTGCCATGTGCCACCACGTGCCATGTTCCACCACGTGCCATGTGCCGCCACGTGCCATGTTCCACCACGTGCCATGTGCCACCACGTGCCATGTGCCGCCACGTGGCACGTGCCACCACGTGCCATGGGTAGTGGGAACCCCTGTAACCCAACAGCGCATGCCTGCTGTTCACCCTCCATGCCCAGCCCACTCCCAAAACTTGCCTTTTCTGCATGGCAGCGAGTTGAGGAACACTGGGCTCTCAGGAATCCCCCCAGCCGACATCTCCAAGCTCTCTGCCCTCACCTACCTGTGAGTGCATCTCGCCCCTCACCTACCTTTGAGTGCATCTCGCTCCTCGCCTGCATGTCAGTAGCCCCGCACCGGTCCTTTTGTAACCACCGATTGCAGCACCCAAGAAAGCTCTTGCTTTTGCCTCCCCTTCAACCGCATTTCCCTTCTCTGCCCTTCTCTGCTGCTCAGCTGCTGCTCAGCTGCTGTCTGCCAATCTGCCTCATTCACTGTTCCTGCACTCCCCCCCCCTCGCCCCCCTCGCCCCCCTCGTCCCACTGCATGGCCCAGGCATCTGATGACGCAGCTGTTCCAGGCGCCCCTTGCCGACTTCGTGTCCACCCTCTACCCCATCACGGGCCTCAGGGAGCTGTGAGCCCGCCTCCCTCCAATTCAACCACCCCTGCCCATCTCTCACCTGCGCTTTGCTTCCCTCGCTCTGCTTCCTCCCTCCCTAACTCTCTCTCTCTCTTCCCCCTCCCACCCCCCTTCTCTCCCTCGCGCACCTTGCTCTCTCTGGACTCTGCCCTCGTGCCCTTTCTACCCTTCGCATCTCTCATCACCAACCCGCCCTCACGTGTGTCCTATGACGCCTCGCATCGCCCCGTGCCCCGCCCCGTGCCCCGCAGCTACCTGCAGTACAACTGGCTGTACGGCTCCGTGCCGTCCACGCTCGTCAACCTGCCCAGTCTCTCCGTGCTGTGAGCCCTCCCTCACCTTCCCCGCTCACCTTCCCCACTCACCTTCCCCACTCCTCCCTGCGTCCTCTTGCTCATGCTGCTTCACGACTCTCTGCTGCCTCCCCTGCCTCTTCCTTTGAAACTTCAATCACACCTCCACATTGCCACACCTCCACATTGTCACACCTCCACATCGTCACACCTCCACATTGTCACACCTCCACATTGTCACACCTCCACATTGTCACACCTCCACATTGTCACACCTCCACATTGTCACACCTCCACATTGTCACACCTCCACATTGTCACACCTCCACATTGTCACACCTCCACATTGTCACACCTCCACACCGTCACACCTCCACATCGTCACACCTCCATCGTCACACCTCCACATCGTTACACCTCCACATCGTCTCACATCCATTCTCCATACACTTACTGCCCATCTTCATCCCACCGCTCATCGCACAACTCGCCTCTCCTCTCCCATGGGCGTCCATGCCATGGGCCCCCCTGCAGTGGGCTGGGCTACAACTACCTCACGGGCAGCTTCCCTGCCTCCAGCAGCCTCAGGGTGCTGGACCTGCGCGGCAACTTCTTAACTGCCATGGGGAGTGCGGCGCTGAGCTGGTGCGACGGCCACACCAACTGCTTCGCCAATCCCTTGGTGTGCAGCATGGGAGGCGCCACCCAGCGCCCCGCCGCCGAATGCGCCATCTGCGGCACCACCAATGGCGTGCCGCCCTTCTGTGGCGGCTCCGGGACATGCTCACCCGACTCCGCCCCCGTGGCCGCCCAGGGGACGCCCAATGTGATGGGCTCTGCCACCCTGCCCATGGTGTGCAGCGGCATCCCCATTAACGCTGCTGATGGTGAGCGCCTGCATGTAATCAATGCACATATCTCCGTGCCGTGCTCCCCCCAGCCTCCAGCTCGAACCGCCTTCACCTCTGGCAGATTGTCTCTCTCTTCTCAACCTTCTGCCTGCTGTCAATCAATCCCATAACCCTTCCCCCACCCGCCGCCACCCCTCTCCATATCCCCCGCCAGCGGTGGTGCTGATGGCGCTCAAGTCGTCGCTGGGCGTGACGCTGAGCAACTGGAACCCCGCAGCACTGTGCACGCTGGAGGGCAAGACCCTCCTGCCCGCGCAGTGGGGCGGCGTGCGCTGTGACGCCGCAGGCAAAGTGCTCAGCATGTGAGTCAAGGGATGGCGGTGAGCATGTGAGTCAAGGGATGGCGGTGAGCATGTGAGTCAAGGGATGGCGGTGAGCATGTGAGTCAAGGGATGGCGGTGAGCATGTGAGTCAAGGGATGGCGGTGAGCATGTGAGTCAAGGGATGGCGGTGAGCATGTGAGTCAAGGGATGGCGGTGAGCATGTGAGTCAAGGGATGGCGGTGAGCATGTGAGTCAAGGGATGGCGGTGAGCATGTGAGTCAAGGGATGGCGGTGAGCATGTGAGTCAAGGGATGGCGGTGAGCATGTGAGTCAAGGGATGGCGGTGAGCATGTGAGTCAAGGGATGGCGGTGAGCATGTGAGTCAAGGGATGGCGGTGAGCATGTGAGTCAAGGGATGGCGGTGAGCATGTGAGTCAAGGGATGGCGGTGAGCATGTGAGTCAAGGGATGGCGGTGAGCATGTGAGTCAAGGGATGGCGGTGAGCATGTGAGTCAAGGGATGGCGGTGAGCATGTGAGTCAAGGGATGGCGGTGAGCATGTGAGTCAAGGGATGGCGGTGAGCATGTGAGTCAAGGGATGGCGGTGAGCATGTGAGTCAAGGGATGGCGGTGAGCATGTGAGTCAAGGGATGGCGGTGAGCATGTGAGTCAAGGGATGGCGGTGAGCATGTGAGTCAAGGGATGGCGGTGAGCATGTGAGTCAAGGGATGGCGGTGAGCATGTGAGTCAAGGGATGGCGGTGAGCATGTGAGTCAAGGGATGGCGGTGAGCATGTGAGTCAAGGGATGGCGGTGAGCATGTGAGTCAAGGGATGGCGGTGAGCATGTGAGTCAAGGGATGGCGGTGAGCATGTGAGTCAAGGGATGGCGGTGAGCATGTGAGTCAAGGGATGGTTTGTGAGGAACCGGAGGGAGTGGTGGCGTTATGGAAAAGGAAGATTGAGCATGTGTGGTGTGAGGGCCACTGCTACTCTTGCCTTGCCCTACCCCATGTGCCTTTCTCGCTTGCATTTTCCTGTTTGCGTGTTTTCTTGACCCCTCTGATCCCTGCACCTCCTGCCCTCATTGCGTCGCAGCGCTCTGACGCGTCAGGGGCTGCAGGGCTACATTCATCAAAACGTCTCCCAGCTCACCACGCTCACGTACCTGTAAGCCCGGCGCACCTCGTTCTCATGACTTCCCAGCTCACCAGCTCGCATGCCACCCCCTCCTGCCAGAGCCACCCTATTCGCACACGCCCCCTTGCTGCCCTCCCACTTCCCCCCCCCTTCGTCCCCCCCCTCCGCCCCCACCCCCGCCCCCGCCCTGCTCCAGCGACCTCGGCTACAACCTCTTCCAGGGCCGCCTGGACCTCTTTGCCACGCCGCTCAAGGCCATGACCACCCTCAAGGCGCTGTAAGACCTCGCCCCCCTCCCAGCCTGCTCATCCTTCTCCCATTTTCTCCCGAGACTGTCGTGCTGGTCAAGCATGAGCAGTCCTGCAGCTGCTCTCGTGCCACGCCAACCCATGGCTGCAGCGCATGCCAGCGCACTCGCATCTCGTCACAACAGCGTCTCACCACCCTTTCCTCGTCCTCCTCTGAACTCTTCATGTCCCCCCCCCACCCCCCCCCCCGCCTTTCCACCCCCGGGACCCCTCCCTCCCCCCCACCCCCCCAACCCCCCACCCCCCCCCCCCCACCGCAGCTTCTTCCACTACAACTATTTCGACGGCTCCATTCCTCCCACCATCGCTGCACTGCCGCAGCTCACCTCACTGTAAGCCAGGCGAGCAGCTCACCTCACTGTAAGCCAGGCGAGCAGCTCACCTCACTGTAAGCCAGGCGAGCAGCTCACCTCACTGTAAGCCAGGCGAGCAGCTCACCTCACTGTAAGCCAGGCGAGCAGCTCACCTCACTGTAAGCCAGGCGAGCAGCTCACCTCACTGTAAGCCAGGCGAGCAGCTCACCTCACTGTAAGCCAGGCGAGCAGCTCACCTCACTGTAAGCCAGGCGAGCAGCTCACCTCACTGTAAGCCAGGCGAGCAGCTCACCTCACTGTAAGCCAGGCGAGCAGCTCACCTCACTGTAAGCCAGGCGAGCAGCTCACCTCACTGTAAGCCAGGCGAGCAGCTCACCTCACTGTAAGCCAGGCGAGCAGCTCACCTCACTGTAAGCCAGGCGAGCAGCTCACCTCACTGTAAGCCAGGCGAGCAGCTCACCTCACTGTAAGCCAGGCGAGCAGCTCACCTCACTGTAAGCCAGGCGAGCAGCTCACCTCACTGTAAGCCAGGCGAGCAGCTCACCTCACTGTAAGCCAGGCGAGCAGCTCACCTCACTGTAAGCCAGGCGAGCAGCTCACCTCACTGTAAGCCAGGCTAGCAGCTCACCTCACTATATGCCAAGCGAGCAGCACGCGGCATGGCTGCGACTGCTGCGCTCACTGGCTTGGCTACCGCTCACTGGCTTGGCTACCGCTCACTGGCTTGGCTACCGCTCACTGGCTTGGCCACCGCTCACTGGCTTGGCCACCGCTCACTGGCTTGGCCACCGCTCACTGGCTTGGCCACCGCTCACTGGCTTGGCCACCGCTCACTGGCTTGGCCACCGCTCACTGGCTTGGCCACCGCTCACCTTTTCCTCCTTGCACCCAGCGAAGTGCTTCTCTCGCTCACGTCTCCTCCACTACCTACAATTGCTACTCGCTCACGTCTCCTCCATTACCAACCCCCCCTCCCCCCCCCCCCAGTGGCCTCTTCTCCAACTACCTCACGGGCACGGTGCCCATCCCCTCCAAGGCGCTGGTAGCTCTGGACCTGGGCTTTAACTTCCTGTCGGGTGTGTTCCCCAAGCTGCCACTCATCTTCTGCGCGGGCGACAACAACTGCTTTGTCAACTCCACCAACTGCCGCACCTACGGCCTCGCACAGCGCCCCGCCGGCGCCTGCGCCATCTGCGGCACCGCGGCGGGCCAGGGTGACATGTGCTTCGGCGGCTCATGCACTCCCAACGCCGCCGCTGCTGTTGCTGCCGGCACCATCAACTCGCCGAGTCAGCCGGTGCTGCCCATGTCGTGCGGAGGTGGGTGTGTGTGGCGCGCTCAGGCGGTGTTGGCATGGCAGGGCCTGGCTGGGCATGTCATTCCTGACTTTCTCCTTGTTACAGATAGATAAATAGCCCATGTTCTGGCCTCCTCTGGTCTCTGCTGATTGCCCCCTTGCCCGTCCCAGCTGCTCACACCTTCGTGAGGCCTCCTGCCGTGTCTCACCCCTGGTCCTCTCTCTGCCTGTACCCAATTCTCGCTCTGCAGACAATCCAGCGGCAGCCATGGATGCAGGCTCAGGTGAGTCTGCTTCTCACAACCCCCCGTTGCCTCCATGCACCCTTGCAGCACTTTTCGCCTCGAGTCAACTTTGCACGCCCCTCCGTACCTTGCCTACATTCTCGTGCACATACCCTTTTTTCTTCCCCTGACCTCTCTCTGTTGAGTCTCTCTCTCTCCCGCTTCTTGCCCCGCGTGTCCCCCACTGCAGCACTGGCGCTGCTGAACGTGAAGAGCGCACTGGGAGTGACGTTCACCTCGTGGAATTCTGCCACCCCCTGCGCTATCGTCAACGCCACTGTCACCGTCGCTGGCACCTGGACCGGTGTGCTCTGCTCCTCTACTGGTGCCGTCGTCAGTGTGTGAGTGTCTCCCCCTCTCTGCTCCCTGCCCCTCCTCCTTGCTCCCTGCCCCCACTCTCTGCTCTCTGCTCCCTCCTCTGCTCCCTCCTCTCTGCTCCCTGCTCTCTGCTCCCTCCTCTCTGCTCCCTGCTCTCTGCTCCCTCCTCTCTACTCCTGCCCCCACTCCCTCCTCTCTGCTCCCTACTTTTTTGCTGCTGCGAACCCATCTGGTCGGCATGCTTCTCGATTCCACTCTGCGTCGTACCGTCACATCGTGCCTCTTTTTCACTTTTGAGGCGCCTAAAATTTTTTACTTCGTGATTCCACTCTGGTTCTTACTGTCACGTATTCCCGCTGTGCGTCCTTTCTCCCTTTCACCCTCCCTTCCCCCATCCCCTCCCCTCCATCTACATGCGCGCAGGAACCTCTCCTCTGCGGCGCTGACTGGCAGCATGCACGCCGACATCTCCAAGCTCACTGCGCTCACCTACCTGTCAGTGCCCTCCACCTCCTCCCCCTGCACGCACCTCCCCCTGCATGCACCTCCCCCTGCACCTCCCCCTGCACCTCCCACTGCACCTCCCCCTGCACCCCCCCCTGCACCTCCCCCTGCACCTCCCCCTGCACCTCCCCCTGCACCTCCCACTGCACCTCCCCCTGCACCTCCCACTATCTGCTCCCCCTCCCAGTGCCATTGTCCCCCCCGCTCACTGCTCCTCCCTTCCCCCCTCCTAACCATCCAACGCCCGTTGCCCTCTCCTTCTGCTGTTAGCCTCTGGCTTTCCACTTCACACATGAGCTCTCTCCGACAGTCCAACATTGTTGGCTAATTACTACTCGTGCCATGTTTTCCCCTCCCCAAATTCCCCCCTGCACATGCGCCCTGCTCCCTCCATCGTGCCTGTGTCATCAGGGACCTGTCCAACAACATCATCCGCGCCCCCATTGGGAACTTCACTGCCGCTCTTTCTGCCCTCTCGTCGCTCCAGAGCCTGTCAGTGCTGCTGCTCTCGCCTCTCGCCTATGCCTCTCTCATCCATACTGCTCTCATACACTGTGACAGGTGTATGAGAGCAGATACACCTGTCACTCCCCTCCCCCACACTGTGATTCCACCACCACAACTGCATATCACCATAATGCTCCTTTGGTGCATCTGCTGCACGCTTGCCACCCCTATCTATTCTGGCCCTTCCATTCACCTGCGCAAGTTGCAATCCGCTGTCCCTCTTGTGGACACATCCAGGCGTCTGAACAACAACTGGCTTGCTGGCACTATGCCTAATACTCTGTTCGAGCTGCCTGCACTCACTCTGCTGTAAGCACTCGTGGGACGTCTCAAATGTGACTCTGTTCGAGCTGCCTGCCCTCACTCTCTGTTGTAAGCATCCCTGTTAGAACAAGGCAAACTTGACTACCATGTCATGCCATGTTTACATACAAAGGTATGTGTTGATGGTTGAAGACTGTTTGCTCCCTGCAGCGCTCCAACACGTCTTCTACCTGCTCATACACGCGTCACATGCACGTACCCCCATGTGTCATGCGCCTGCCCTCACTTCACATGTCATGTGCGCCTAACCCCATGTCTCACTTACGCCTCCCCCTCCTTCCCCCCCCCCCCCCCCCCCCCCCCCCACCCCCCCCCCCCCCCCCCCTCCCTCCCCCCGCCCCCCTCGCATGGCAGGGACCTGCACGCGAACGCGCTGACGGGCTACCTGCCGACCTTCCCCGACGCGCTGCTGTCGTTCTTCATCCAAGACAACTTCTTCGTGGGCGTCATCGACATCAACACGCTCACCGCGTGCGACGCCAGCCTCAACTGCATGGTGGACACCACCGAGTGCAGCGCGGGCAGCACCACGCAGAGGGCCTCCGCAGCCTGCGCCATCTGCGACACCACGGACGCCGAGGGGACGTTGTGCTGGGGTGGCACGTGCACGCCCAATGTGACGGCCACTACGAGCCACCCGGATGGGAAAGCCCCACCGCCCATGTACTGCTTTGGTGCGTCTGTCCAATCATGGGCCTTGCCCAATCCCGGGCCTTGCCCAATCATGGGCCTTGCCCAATCACGGGCCTTGCCCAATCACGGGCCTTGCCCAATCACGGGCCTTGCCCAATCACGGGCCTTGCCCAATCATGGGCCTTGCCCAATCACGGGCCTTGCCCAATCACGGGCCTTGCCCAATCACGGGCCTTGCCCAATCACGGGCCTTGCCCAATCACGGGCCTTGCCCAATCACGGGCCTTGCCCAATCACGGGCCTTGCCCAATCACGAGCCTTGCCCAATCACGAGCCTTGCCCAATCACGGGCCTTGCCCAATCACGGGCCTTGCCCAATCACGGGCCTTGCCCAATCTCGGGCCTTGCCCAATCACGGGCCTTGCCCGTGTTCTCCGATGGTGAATCGCTGGGAATCCAGCGCGTTCTTTTCACTCCTGCTGAATTTCACACCCGCTGTTCATGCGTGGCTCTCCTGCCGTTTCACTTAACACTCTCTTATCCCCCCCTCTGCATGCGTTTGACTGCCTCTCATTGCCTCTCATTGCCTCTGAACGCCTCTGAATGCCTCTGAATGCCTCTGAATGCCTCTGAATGCTTCTGAATGCGTCCGAATGCCTCTGAATGCCTCTGACTGTGTGCTGCAGGAGCTCCGGTGATCAAAATGAACGCTGCTGATGGTGAGAATGCCTGCCCCCTGCACCTGCCTGCCCCCTGCACCTGCCTGCCCCCTGCACCTGCCTGCTCCCTGCACCTGCATGGCTCCTGCGCTTCACCCATCTATGGCCGTACCACTCCTCACATGCACTTCCCAGCCAGGCCATTCCCCACGTGTCGCCTTTCCAAAGATCCCCCGGCCATTCAGCAGTCATTCCACTGCCAACCAATATGCCACCGCGCACTCCTCCTGTAATGCACACTCCTACTCTTGACGCGCCTCAAAATAAAAACCGCGTGATAGGAGTCTAGTTTTGAGGTGCCTCAAAACTAGACTCCTATCAACCAGTATGCCACCTCGCCTCAAAACTAGACTCCTATCAACCAGTATGTCACCTCGCCTCAAAACTAGACTCCTATCAACCAGTATGCCACCTCGCCTCAAAACTAGACTCCTATCAACCCGTATGCCACCTCGCACTCCTGTAATGCACACTCCTACATCTCTTGACCACCCCCCCCCCCCCCCCACGCGTCCCCCCTGATGGCAATGCAGAGGCGGCGCTGCTGGTGATCAAGAGTGCGCTGGTCATGTCGTATGACTCGTGGGTCAACGGCACGTTCTGCACCGTCGCGCCTGCTGAGTGGGTGTACGGCACGTGGGATGGCATCCTCTGTGACTCCGTGGGCAAAGTCCAAAGCATGTGAGTCCTCTTCAGCTTGCTGCTGCACCTGCCCATGCTGCCCATGCTGCTGCACCCTGTGCTACCTTCCCAAGCCACTGGTATCTCTCCCCTTGTCTCTGGCTTATTGGAATGGGTGTACGGCATGTGGGACGGCATTCTCTGTGACTCCCTGGGCAAAGTCCAAAGCATGTGAGTCCGCTTCAGCTTACTGCTGCTCCCCATGTGACCAGCCCTTGCTGCCCTTGCTGCCCATGCTTTCCACGCTGCTTATCTCCAGCTGCATGAGTTGTGGCTCTCTTTCTCTGCTACTGTCCTCTAGCCCCGCGTGCTGCTTACCTCTCCCCTTGTCTCTGGCTTATCGATTCCCTCACTTGACTTGTGCCTGGCCTGTTCTCCACCCCTTTGCTCTGCAGGCGACTCGCTTACGCCGGGCTAACAGGCACTGTCCCACTCGCTATCTCCACTCTCACTGCTCTTACGGGCATGTAAGCCCGCCTCCATCGGTGCTTATATCTCTTTTACAGTTCGAACCATACATAAGACCGTGCCTTGCGCACACCTGGGGCCTCCACGCCCTTGAATGCACCCGCCTTCCGTTATAACGCATGGCACAGTCGTTCCAGCTAGCACACTCATGACCCCACACTCATCGCCTCGTCGTTCCTTCACGCACACTCATTTTTGGGCCTAGCTTTGACCCTTTTCCCATGACCCCATACACACCCTTTCCCCACCGTGTGTTGGCAACTGTGTGCTGCTAGGGCCGCAGCCATCTGGGCCTCAACCTCTTTCCCACTTCCCCATCCCCCCCCCCCCCTTTCCTCCCCCCCCCCGCCACCTCCCACCTCTGCGCCAGCGACCTGGGCTTCAACCTCTTCCAGGGCCGCATGGACGAAGTGACCACGCACCTGCGCCTCCTCACCAACCTCCAAGTCCTGTGCGTCGCTCTGCCTGCGTTGCTGGTCTCAGGCCCACCCACCCCAACTAGTGTTGCTGATTCTACATCCACATGGTGTTGCATCCGGCAGATAGTGCATGTGCTCGTCAACTCAGGCAGATAGTGCATGTGTGCATGTTCGTTGTGTGCTCGCTCCTGTTTGGTGCCTCATGTGTCCCTGTTGTCCTCTCATCCACCTTCCTCTCTCCCTCTCCTGTTTGGTGTCTTGTGCCGCCACCTGCCCACAGCAATCTCGCCTACAACTGGTTCTCCGGCTCAGTGCCTGCTTTCATGCCCGCTCTCCCCAAGCTCATTGGACTGTAAGCCCCACCGGCCCACTCTTTCCCTTTGCTCCTCCCTTCCTTGGCTGCCCCATTACCATGTGTGTGCAGAATCACTTAACTCCTTACCTCGTCTTATCCCCTCCCATTGCTCCGTCCATCCACACCTTACTGTCCCAATCCTGCCATTATCTGATCCTTGAGTGTCCCTCGCCTTCTTAATCTTCCTCCATGCCATGCCACCGCCTGCCCTCCACAGCGGGCTGGGCTACAACTACCTGACGGGTCCGCTGCCGAACGTGACGGCGCCGCTGATCGCCATTGACGTGCAGTTCAACTACCTCGCCGGCACCTTCCCCGCGCTCACCAACCTCTCCTTCTGCGGCGCTCGCATGAACTGCTTCCTCGACGCCACCAAGTGCAAGAACCCTCAGCGCGCCACCGAGGTGCAGCGCACCACAGCCGCGTGCGCCATCTGCAACACGACCAACGCGCAGGGGAAGCTGTGCAACGGCGGGCTGTGCATGGTGAACGCCACGGACCTGGTGGCAACGGGCGAGACCAACAGTGCGTCATCCCCCACGCTGCCGCTGATCTGCGTGGGCGCGGCCTTTGTGGCCATGGATGCCACCCAGGCAGGCGCCATGCTGAACCTCAAGGCGTCTCTCGGAGTGACCTTCACTGACTGGAAGGCCGACTCGCCCTGCTCCCTGCCTGGTGGTGTCGCCCCTGGGTCGTGGAGTGGGGTCACCTGCGATGCCACAGGCAAAGTCACTGTCGTGTGAGTGGGCGCGCAGAGAGTAAGCTAGGCTGTGTCGTGCCGTGTAGTGGGTGGAAGGAGTGTGGTCGCTTTCGGCGTTTCTTTCTCCTGGACGCCTTTCTCCGCTCTGGCCTGACGTGTCCTCCCTGCTCCCTCCCTACACCCTCCCTGCACCCTCCCTGCTGCCATGTTTCTTGGGAATCTGCAGATCCCTCAAGTCCCAGAAGCTGGCAGGAAGCATCCATTCCGACATCTCCAAGCTCACCACACTCACCACGCTGTAAGTCCTCGACCTCAACTCTCTCACTCCCACTCACCCGTGGTTAGCTGCTCCAAACTGCCACGTGGTTCATTCATTGCTCCTGGCTGCTCCTGCCTGTGTCTGCTAACCAATGTGCCATTCTGCATGGTGCGGCTTGTTCGCTTCCCTCCCGTTGCTGCGCCCTGCAGTGACCTGCAGTCCAACCTGCTGCAGGGGCGCCTCGACTCCTTCGTTGCCACCATCAAGGCGCCCCTCGTGCTCAAGGAGCTGTGAGTCTCCTCAACCCTACCGCCCCTACAGCCCTCCACCCACTCTGACTGTATGCATGCTCCGCCTTCATTCCTGCATGGCGATGCTCTACGCAATCTGCAGTCTGAATTTCACCATGCTGCTGTGCACACCGAATCTCTACACTCCTCACTGCTCGCCCTTCCTCTCCCTCCACTCCACCACACGGCTAATCCCCAGTGTCCCCTCCACCCTCCTCGCCCATCACCCGTGCTGTGTGCCCTTGCTTGCAGGTCTCTGCAGTACAACTATCTCGCTGGCCCTTTCCCCTCCACCCTGCTCGCCCTCGCCACCCTCTCCAAGCTGTGAGTGTTCCTCAGAGCACACCATTCTCCGTCCGTGCTGCCCCCTTTTGCCACACTAACCCTACTCTCTCTCATTACATGTCATCTCCCTCACACACTCACCTCTCTCGCCAAGCCCTTCCCCCTCGTCGACCGCCCGTGCAGCTCCGTGGCGTTCAACTACCTCACGGGCTCCCTGCCCACGGTGCCGGCGTCCGCCAAGTCGCTGGACGTGCAGGGCAACTACCTGGCGGGCGCCTTCCCCGCCAACACACTCACCTTCTGCGCCGCCATCACCAACTGCCTCACCGACGCCTCCAACTGCGCCTCGCTCGGCGTCTCGCAGCGCTCGGGGGCGGAGTGCGCTATCTGCGGCACCGCCTTTGGCCAGGGCACCCTGTGCGGCGGCGTCTTCTGCACCGTCAACACCACCGGCGTCACCACGCCTCCCACTGCCACGTCTCCCCCTCTCAACCTCTTCTGCCCTCCTGTTGCCATGGACACCAACACCAGTGAGTGCCCCTCCCTCCAGCCGTGCCCCCCTCATACTCCCTCGCCCTCCCTCAGCCTCTCATCCTCATCCCCACCATCTCTCCATCCCCGCCATCTCTCCATCCCCTCTGCCCCTCGCTCCCTCCCCCCCTCTGCCTGCAGCCGCCACGCTGCTGGCGCTGAAGACAATGCTGGGGGTGACGTCCACAGACTGGGCCGCCACGACGGTGGCGCTGAAGCCAAAGGCGCTGAAGAGCGGCAGCGTGCCCCTGGCCACCACGGTGGGCGCCTGCACCGTGGACGGCCAGGTGCCTGCACCCGGCTCCTGGACCGGCGTCTTCTGCTCCTCCACCGGCGCCATCGTCGCCATGTGAGTCAGCGGCGCCATTGTTGGCCTGTGAGTCACCAGCGCCATTGTTGGCCTGTGAGTCACCGGCGCCATTGTTGGCCTGTGAGTCACCGGCGCCATTGTTGGCCTGTGAGTCACCGGCTCCTTTATCGCCCTGTGCCGTTTGTCCCCACATACGCTTAGCCTTCGTCCCCCATCTCGTACTCTGCCCTCTCCGCCCACCCCCTTCCCCTCCCCTCCTCCCCCTCTCCCCCCCCCCCCCCCCCCAAATCCAATCGTCCTGCAGTGTGCTGCCGAACCAGAAGCTGAGCGGAAGCTTCTCGTCTGACATCACGAAGCTCACTGCTCTCACCAATCTGTGAGTCTGCCCTCTCCTGCGCTCTCATGCCCTCTCCTGCGCTCTCATGCCCTCTCCTGCGCTCTCATGCCCTCCCCTGCGCTCTCATGCCCTCCCCTGCGCTCTCATGCCCTCCCCTGCGCTCTCATGCCCTCTCCTGCTCATGCCTTCCGACGCTCTTACTCGATTTCTCCCCTCCACTCTGCTGCTCCAACGCCTTCAATGCCGTCCTGCCGCTGCATCTGAATGCATCTACACATGCGTTTGCTCATGTCTATGTATGTATGCCTGTAATTCCATCTGCCTGCATGCATGCAGGGATCTGAGTGCCAATCTGTTCCAGCAGCGCTTTGAGGTCTTCGTTTCGCTCTTCACCGCTCTCAAGACTCTCAAGTCGCTGTACGTGCTGTGCTCACCCGTGATGCTTGGCTGTCAACATTCTGTGCTGCTGCTGCCAGCATAGCGTGCTGTTGCCGGCATGTCAACCGCCTTTCGACTTTCTCAAGCAACTCACGTCATCGCGTGTTGTGTGCGCATCTCCCGGCCATCGGGCCATCTGCCGATGCCCCTCATCTCTCTTCTCTTGGACCAACGCCCGTCCCACCAATGCCCCTCCCCCACCCCTCCCCCTGCGCGCGCGCAGGTCGCTGCAGTACAACTGGTTCTCTAGCTCCATCCCCTCCGCCCTCCTCGCCCTGCCAGCCCTCTCCAGCGTGTGAGTGCCCCTCGCCACCCCCCCTCTGTGCGGACCCCTCTTCCGCCTAACGTGTCACTGAAAGCACCTCAACTGTGCCCCCACTATCGACACATGCAGCACTCGAAACTCAGTGAATCCTGCCGCTACTCACCCCTCCCCTGCACGCCCCTTCCCCCCTGCCTCCCCCCCCCTCCCCCTCTCCCAGCAATCTGAACCGCAACTATCTGACGGGCGTGGTGCCGGCCATCGGAGCGGCCGTCAAGTCGCTCAACGTGGCCAACAACTTCCTCTCGGGGTCCTTCCCCACCGCCGCCCTCACGGCGTGCGACGCGCGCTCCAACTGCTTCGCGGACGCCAGCAAGTGCGCCAACACCAACGGCACGGCGCAGAGGGCCACTGCTGAGTGCGCCATCTGCGGGTCCACCAACGCTGCCGGCGCACTGTGCGGCGGCGGCTTCTGCATGCCCAACGCCACGGTGCCGGCCGGCACGGGCACGCCCAACGTTGAGGGGCAGGCGGTGCTTCCGCTGTTCTGCCAGGGTGGCCCCATCGAGGTCAACATGCGCGGCGCCATGCTCAACCTCAAGGCGTCGCTGGGCGTGTCCCTTACCGACTGGGCTGCGGCTTCGTCGTGCACCATTGCTGGGCAGACCGCCGTGCCGGGGGCGTGGTCCAACGTTGTCTGTGACATGGCGGGCAAGGTCATCAGCATGTGAGTAGCCCTCATGGCGCTCAGCTTTCTGCGCAAGCTGAAGCAGTATGGAGGAGCCGTTGGGCCACAGCACAGCCATGCCAGGCACCCGCCTCTATCCTCCATGCCCGCACCCTCCGATCCCACTCACTCACCCCCTCTTGCCTCGTTCCCCCCCCTCCTCCCGTGCTCCTCTGCAGCAACCTCAAGGCCCAGCTGCTGAAGGGCAGCATGCATGCTGACATCTCCAAGCTCACCACGCTCACCTCGCTGTAAGCTCCCAAACTCACCTTGCCTGCCTCGAGGCACGAACCCCACCACCACCTCTCCTGTGTGCTGCTTCCTCCTTATGTCCTTCCCTTCATCCTCTTGGGTTTAGGCTCATGCATCCTCCTTCCCCCCTGCCTCCTCCCCCCCCCCCCCCCCCCCCCCCCCCGGCGGTCTGCAGCGTGCTGGAGGGCAATCTGCTGCAGGGCCGCCTGTCCTTCTTCACCTCGGGCTTTAAGGCGCTCTCCGCCCTCAAGCTGCTGTCAGTCGCCGCTGCCACCCTCGTGCCCGCTGCCCTGTGCCCCATGCCCTGTGACACGACTCGCCCTTCTGCTTTTGACATGCTGCGTATTTCATTGCTCTTTTTCTTGGTTCTCCGGTTTTTCAGCCTCTTTTCCTCTCACTCTGTGTGTTACTGAGTTTGGTGCCCTCGCTGCTGCTCACGGCCCTGCCTACCCTGCCTCCACTCCTCCCCCACGCCCACCTGCAGCAACGTGCGTTTCAACTTCTTCGCTGGCCCGCTGCCCTCCGCGCTTGCTACTCTCCCGGCGCTCACCAGCCTGTAACCTCTCAATACCTTTCGACACCTGCACCTCAACGCCTTCTCACGGCGCAGTGCAGTATGCTTAGTAACCTCCCACCTTTCTGCTCCCCTCTTGCCGCTTGTGTCCATCCTATACCATTTTGTGCTGCGAGACGGGTCAGCCTGCCCCACACGCCCTCACCTCCTTGTCTGACTCCCCTGTTGCCCTGCCCACCCGCCCCCTGCTGCCCCGCCCTGGCAGCGACCTGAGCTACAACTACATGACGGGGACGGTGCCCGCGATAGGCACGGCGCTTAAGGAGCTCAAGCTGGCGGGCAACTTCTTCTCAGGCAGCATCGGCACGCTCACGGGCGTGTCGTGCTCCGCCGAGCTCAACTGCCTCACCTCCCAGGGCAGCTGCACCGCTGGCGGCACAGCCAAACGCGCCCTCTGCAACATCTGCGGCAGCGCTGACGCCCAGGGCACCCTGTGCAGCGGCGGGCTGTGCGTGCCCAATGCCACGGCGGCTGTGGCGAGCAACTCGCCCCCAACGCTGTCGACGCCCATCATGTCTATGTACTGCACGGGCGTCATCATCGACACCGCTTCAGGTGACCACCCGCTGCCTCTCTTGCTCTCACTCGCTCTCGTTCTCTCCTTTCTGCATCATCGATACCGCTGCAGGTGACCTCCTGCTGTGCCGCCTCTCTCACTCTCACGCCCTTTCCTCCTCTCCTTTCTGCCTTTCCTTGCACTCTCTTCTGCCAACCTGTCATTTTTCTCTCTCTGCAGCCACCCCTCCCTGACCTCGCTCTCTCTCTGCCCACCCCCTTCCTCCCCCTCCCTCCCCCCCACAGCGACGGCGCTGGGCAACATCAAGACGGCGCTGGGAGTGACCTTCACAGACTGGACGGCCGCCACGGCGCTGCTGAAGCCCAAGGCGGCGGCGGGCAGCGGCAGCGGGGCGCTCACGGATTGGATGACCACTGGCGGCTACTGCACTGTGGAGGGGCAGCCCCCCGTGGCTGGCTCCTGGTCCGGCGTCCTCTGCAATTCCCTCGGCCAGCCGCTCGGCCTGTCAGTGCTCTCCCACACTCGCTCTCTGCTGCGCTTGCACCGTGTCAACCATGCCTGCGCCGATTCAACCATGCCTGCACCGAGTCAACCATGCCTGCACCGAGTCAACCATGCCTGCACCGAGTCAACCATGCCTGCACCGAGTCAACCATGCCTGCACCGAGCCAACCATGCCTGCACCGAGCCAACCATGCCTGCACCGAGCCAACCATGCCTGCACCGAGTCATTCATGCCTGCACCGAGTCATTCATGCCTGCACCGAGTCATTCATGCCTGCACCGAGTCATTCATGCCTGCACCGAGTCATTCATGCCTGCACCGAGTCATTCATGCCTGCACCGAGTCATTCATGCCTGCACCGAGTCATTCATGCCTGCACCGAGTCATTCATGCCTGCACCGAGTCATTCATGCCTGCACCGAGTCATTCATGCCTGCACCGAGTCATTCATGCCTGCACCGAGTCATTCATGCCTGCACCGAGTCATTCATGCCTGCACCGAGTCATTCATGCCTGCACCGAGTCATTCATGCCTGCACCGAGTCATTCATGCCTGCACCGAGTCATTCATGCCTGCACCGAGTCATTCATGCCTGCACCGAGTCATTCATGCCTGCACCGAGTCATTCATGCCTGCACCGAGTCATTCATGCCTGCACCGAGTCATTCATGCCTGCACCGAGTCATTCATGCCTGCACCGAGTCATTCATGCCTGCACCGAGTCATTCATGCCTGCACCGAGTCATTCATGCCTGCACCGAGTCATTCATGCCTGCACCGAGTCATCCATGCCATGCCAGCACCGAGTCATCCATGCCATGCCAGCACCGAGTCATCCATGCCATGCCAGCACCGAGTCATCCATGCCATGCCAGCACCGAGTCATCCATGCCATGCCAGCACCGAGTCATCCATGCCATGCCAGCACCGAGTCATCCATGCCATGCCAGCACCGAGTCATCCATGCCATGCCAGCACCGAGTCATCCATGCCATGCCAGCACCGAGTCATCCATGCCATGCCAGCACCGAGTCATCCATGCCATGCCAGCACCGAGTCATCCATGCCATGCCAGCACCGAGTCATCCATGCCATGCCAGCACCGAGTCATCCATGCCATGCCAGCACCGAGTCATCCATGCCATGCCAGCACCGAGTCATCCATGCCATGCCAGCACCGAGTCATCCATGCCATGCCAGCACCGAGTCATCCATGCCATGCCAGCACCGAGTCATCCATGCCATGCCAGCACCGAGTCATCCATGCCATGCCAGCACCGAGTCATCCATGCCATGCCAGCACCGAGTCATCCATGCCATGCCAGCACCGAGTCATCCATGCCATGCCAGCACCGAGTCATCCATGCCATGCCAGCACCGAGTCATCCATGCCATGCCAGCACCGAGTCATCCATGCCATGCCAGCACCGAGTCATCCATGCCATGCCAGCACCGAGTCATCCATGCCATGCCAGCACCGAGTCATCCATGCCATGCCAGCACCGAGTCATCCATGCCATGCCAGCACCGAGTCATCCATGCCATGCCAGCACCGAGTCATCCATGCCATGCCAGCACCGAGTCATCCATGCCATGCCAGCACCGAGTCATCCATGCCATGCCAGCACCGAGTCATCCATGCCATGCCAGCACCGAGTCATCCATGCCATGCCAGCACCGAGTCATCCATGCCATGCCAGCACCGAGTCATCCATGCCATGCCAGCACCGAGTCATCCATGCCATGCCAGCACCGAGTCATCCATGCCATGCCTGCACCGAGTCATCCATGCCATGCCTGCACCGAGTCATCCATGCCATGCCAGCACCGAGTCATCCATGCCATGCCAGCACCGAGTCATCCATGCCATGCCAGCACCGAGTCATCCATGCCATGCCAGCACCGAGTCATCCATGCCATGCCAGCACCGAGTCATCCATGCCATGCCTGCACCGAGTCATCCATGCCATGCCTGCACCGAGTCATCCATGCCATGCCTGCACCGAGTCATCCATGCCATGCCAGCACCGAGTCATCCATGCCATGCCAGCACCGAGTCATCCATGCCATGCCAGCACCGAGTCATCCATGCCATGCCAGCACCGAGTCATCCATGCCATGCCAGCACCGAGTCATCCATGCCATGCCTGCACCGAGTCATCCATGCCATGCCAGCACCGAGTCATCCATGCCATGCCAGCACCGAGTCATCCATGCCATGCCAGCACCGAGTCATCCATGCCATGCCAGCACCGAGTCATCCATGCCATGCCAGCACCGAGTCAACCATGCTAGCACCGAGTCAACCATGCCAGCACCGAGTCAACCATGCCAGCACCGAGTCAACCATGCCAGCACCGAGTCAACCATGCCAGCACCGAGTCAACCATGCCAGCACCGAGTCAACCATGCCAGCACCGAGTCAACCATGCAAGCACCGAGTCAACCATGCAAGCACCGAGTCAACCATGCCAGCACCGAGTCAACCATGCCAGCACCGAGTCAACCATGCCAGCACCGAGTCAACCATGCCAGCACCGAGTCAACCATGCCAGCACCGAGTCAACCATGCCAGCACCGAGTCAACCATGCCAGCACCGAGTCAACCATGCCAGCACCGAGTCAACCATGCAAGCACCGAGTCAACCATGCAAGCACCGAGTTAACCATGCAAGCACCGACTGAGCCATGCCAGCACCGAGTCAGCCCTCCCACCATTCTCTTCTTCCCCACCCCACACTGGCAGGGATTTGAGCAAGCAGAAGCTTGCCGGTACACTCCATGCCGACCTCAGCAAGCTATCTCTTCTCACCAGGCTGTGAGTGCTGCCCGCATGAATTTTTTTTTGCGTTGGGCTCCAATTTCCGTTCCGCCTCCCCGTGCCCATGCCCTCTACCTGCGCCCATGCCCTCTACCTGCGCCCATGCCCTACCTGCGCCCATGCCCTCTACCTGCGCCCATGCCTCACCACGCCCATGCCCTCTACCTGCGCCCATGCCCTACCTGCGCCCATGTCCCGTGGCGTTGTCCTGCCGGCCCGCAGGGATCTGAGTTCCAACTTCTTCAGAGTGCAGTTCGACACTTGGGGCTCGTCTCTTAAGCTGCTCACCACCCTGCAATCACTGTGAGTTCCTTCTTAAACATCAATCACCCATCTCCACCCCTTTTGTCCCTCCAGGCATCCCTGCCCCCCCTTCTCCCTCCACTCATCCCAGTTCCTATCGCCTTCCACCCCTCCCTGTCCCCCTGTCTCCCCCCCCCCCCTCGCTGCGTGCAGCCGGCTCAACAGCAACTATCTGTACGGCCCGCTGCCCTCGTGGCTCGTCTCCTTCGCCAAGCTCACGAACCTGTCAGTGCTGCACCCAATCTCCCTGCCCTCCCTGCCCGCCCTGCCCTCCCTCCCCTCCCTCCCCTCCCTGCCCTCCCTGTCGTCGCCTGCCCTCGCCTGCCCTCGCCTGCCCTCCCCTGCCCTTGCCAACCTCATCAACCCTGGCACCCCCTTTGCCCCTAGCCCCGTGCCTTTTGCCCATCCCCTCTGTTTGCACCGCTTGCCTCTTGCTCCTTACCGCTTCACCTTGCCCCCTGCTTATTGCTCCTTGCGATCCCCACACCCTCTCGTTGTGTTGTGTGGTCCACGCCCCTTGTCCCTTTCCCTTCCCTCTTGCTCCATGCCGCTCTTCCTTCCTGTCCGCTCAACTTCCCTTCCTTCCGCTCTGCCCCCCGTCCGCTCTGGTGCGTGCAGCGAGGTGAACATGAACGTGTTCACGGGCACCTTCCCCGCCATCACCTCCACAGTGCTCAAGCGCCTCCTGGCGGACCAGAACTTTATGGGAGGCACCTTCCCCGCCAACACGCTCACGTACTGCACTGCCTACTACAACTGCATGCCCAACCACGCCACCTGCAGCGGTGTCTACTCCAACTACCCCATCCCTTCCTTTGGCTGCCAGTTCTGCGGCATGACCAACGCCCTGGGCACCGCGTGCCAGGGCAACCCGTGCATGCCCGTCACCCCTTCGCCCATCACAGCCGTCAACATGTGGAGCCCCGTTCCCGTCATGCGCTGCGACCCCATCCGCATCGACGCCACACATGGTAGGCCGCTCATGCGGTTGCACCCGAGCTTGCAGCTGTTCTTCACGTTGAGGTTGAGCCCCTTGGCTCGAGGGGCACCGGAAGAAGATGCTCCCTCCGCTGTGACCCATGCTGGCTGCCCCCTTTCTCCCTCATCCCTCCCCCGAGAGGATGAACACACCCTCAAGCATGACTCGCACCCTCAAGCATGACTCGCACCCTCAAGCATGACTCGCACCCTCAAGCATGACTCGCACCCTCAAGCATGACTCGCACCCTCAAGCATGACTCACGCCCTCAAGCACAATACCCCCCCCCCCCCCCCCCCCCCCCCCCCCACTCCCCCCGCCCCTGCTGCCCATCCCTTCCCAGCGTCCGCACTGGCTGCCATAGCGCCGGGCTTGTGGGGCTCTCAGACCATGTGCACGCCGGCAGGGGAAACCACCATTCCAGGCACCTTCCCCCTTGTCTACTGCAACGCTGCCGGACAGGTCTTGGAAATGTATGTCGCCCCTGCTGGCCCCTTGCCCACTCTGTATTACAAGCCCCATGCCTGGGTCATGCATTCAGCCATCAACCGTGACCCGTTTATTGTACCATCTTGTGATCACGTTTATACCATGCAGATTACCATCATTCGTGCCTGCTCATCATGAATCCATGTTATTGCCATGCTGGAATCATGATTACCATCATTCGTGCCTGCTCATCATGAATCCATGTTATTGCCATGCTGGAATCATGATTACCATCATTCGTGCCTGCTCATCATGAATCCATGTTATTGCCATGCTGGAATCATGATTACCATCATTCGTGCCTGCTCATCATGAATCCATGTTATTGCCATGCTGGAATCATGATTACCATCATTCGTGCCTGCTCATCATGAATCCATGTTATTGCCATGCTGGAATCATGATTACCATCATTCGTGCCTGCTCATCATGAATCCATGTTATTGCCATGCTGGAATCATGATTACCATCATTCGTGCCTGATCATCATGAATCCATGTTATTGCCATGCTGGAATCATGATTACCATCATTCGTGCTTGCTCATGCCTGTGCCATGTGCCATGTGGTGTGTGTGTTACAGCAATTTTGCCAATCTAAAGGCCACGGGTTTCATCCCCTCCGACGTTTCCAAGCTCGCCACGCTCTCCAAGTTGTAAGCTCTCCACACTCACCAAACTGTAGGCTTTTCACCACATGTGATTGCATGCCTATCACATTGTCAGCCCTTATAAACGACGGCTGTCATCACATGCCATGGCATGCGATCCCATGTGCATCCGCGCCCTCTTCCCCACTGCAGTGACATGGCCAACAACCTCTACTCCGGCCGCCTGGAGACCTTCCTTGCGCCGCTCCTTCCCCTCAAAGCCCTCAGCGTCCTGTAAGCTGCCCTGCCAGCCCCACTGCCAACTCTCTCGCCCCCGTGGGTTCATCGGGAGCTCATCTCTGCTGCTTCCACCTCTCCAGCTGCGTCCGCTTTCTCGTGCGGCTGCCTGTCTCTCTCTACTCGCTTCAACCCCCCGTTTTCTGCTGCATTCTATGCAATGCAGGCGCCTCAACAACAACTATTTCTCGGGCTCCTTCCCATCGACTTTCTCTGCCCTCTCTGCCCTCACCGAACTGTAAGCTTGTGCCTTCCCTGCCCCCTCTCTCCTGGATGCTCATTCCTCTCCTCCTCCAGCCGTGCGCACCTGATGCCTGATTCGCCTTGCCACCCATCTCTATCCCTCACCACTTCCTCCCTTGCTATCTCCTTTCTCTTCTCTCCCACCCCACCCACCCTACCCCCCCGCTCCTCTCTTCCGCCTGTTCCACACGCCCCGATTCACGCCAACTGCTGGGGCCGCTGTGTTGATGCAGGAAGGTGCAGATGAACTACCTGACAGGCAGCGTGCCGGCGGGCCTGCCGGCGAGCCTGAAGAACATAGACGCGTCCAGCAACTACCTGGTGGGCACGTTCCCCACCACCACCGCCACCTTCTGCTCCTGCGCCAGCAACTGCTTCCAGGACGCCACCAAGTGCGCCAGCGGCAACGTGCAGCGCGCCGCAGGAGCGTGCGCCATCTGCGAAACCCCCGACGGCACCGGCAGGATGTGCGGCGGCGGCATCTGCACGCCCAACGCCACGGACCTGATTGCAGCCAAGACTCTGAACCCCGGCACCGCGGCCATGTACTGCCTGGGCGCCACCATGGACCCCGCCATGGGTGAGTGACGTTCACGTACTGTTCCCTCCCCCCTCCCCTCTTCCCCCCTCCCCTCTTCCTCCCTTCCCCCAATCCTTTACCCTTGCTGATCCACCAGCTGCTGCTTTGCTGAACTTGAAGGTGTCGCTGGGAGTGGCGTTCACGGATCGTTCTTTCCCCTCTCCCCCCTCCCCCTCATTCCTTTACCCCTGCTGCTCCCCCAGCTGCCGCACTTCTGAACATGAAGGCGTCGCTGGGGGTGACGTTCACGGACTGGGCGCTGGACGCGCCGTGCACCATCGAGGGGCTGCCGCCGCTGCCAGGCGCATGGAGCAACGTCGTCTGCAACGTCTCTGGCAAAGTCATGAAGCTGTGAGCGCTCCCCCCTCTCCGCTCACACGGCGCTTTTACGCCCCTCTCGCTCTCATGGAGCACGTTGGAGCATGCGGCGTTCTTGTTTGATGTGTGATCTCTCTGTGTGTGAGCCACTGATTAACCATTGAATACGTGTGCATCTGCGTCTGTGTGGCTGTTGGCTGCATGCAGCTCCCTGGGGGGTCAGAGGCTGTCAGGGACAATGCACTCAGACGTCTCCAAGCTCACCGCCCTCACATACATGTAAGCACCATTACATACATGTAAGCACCATTACATACATGTAAGCACCATTACATACATGTAAGCACCATTACATACATGTAAGCACCATTACATACATGTAAGCACCATTACATACATGTAAGCACCATTACATACATGTAAGCACCATTACATACATGTAAGCACCATTACATACATGTAAGCACCATTACATACATGTAAGCACCATTACATACATGTATGATCACATAAGTGTAAGTGTCACAGGCGTGTGTGCATCACATACGTGGACGCTTAAATACTCACGTAAGCATCACAAAACCCCTTGTCTGATTTATCTTCAAACTCTCCGCTCTTCTGTCCTTGTGCTTGTGCGCACTTGCTCTTGTGCGCCCTTGCTCTTGTGTGGCCTGCCACCTTCCTACAGCGATTTGAAGTCCAACCTTTTGGAGGGCCGCTTGGATGTGTTTGCAGCCAACTTCAAGACTCTCGCCTTGCTCAAAGAAGCGTGAGTGGCACTGTGGCAGCCGCATTTTTGGAGCAGAGCAGCGCCATGAGAGCAGCGCCGCAGCGCACAGCACAATCCTGCGTGAAGCACGCCACCCTCCCCTACCTGGAGCACAACACCCATCATGCCATATGCTTGCCACCGCAGCATGTGCTTGGCATGCTACCATGTCATATCACGCCATGATGATAACATGCTCCCCTCCCCCCACCTCCCATGCTTCCCTCCCCTTTGCAGCTACTTTGACTCCAACTGGTTCACAGGGCCCATCCCTTCCACGCTTGTTGCCCTCGCCGCCCTCTCCAACTTGTAAGCCTCCAACTTGCAAGCCTCCTTGTGAGGCCCACGCGACTCTCACATCCCACCCTCCAAGTAGCCTCGCCCTATGCGGGTTGCCTCTGTGCTGTTGCCACATCCAGCGGGCAGCACTGCTTTTGTGGCCTGCTGCTTGCGCCGCCAAACAGCTCTGCCCTTTTGCCACTCACGCTCAACCATCCTCTCCTCCTCCCCCCCCCCCCTCTCCCTCTCCCCCCCCCCCGCCCCCAGTGGCGCGAGCTACAACTATCTATACGGCGCCATGCCCACGCCCGGCGCGGCGCTCAAGACCATCAGCGTGCAGGGCAACTGGCTGTCGGGCACGTTCCCCGGCACGGGCTTCGTGTCCTGCTCCGCCACCACCAACTGCTTCGCCAGCATCGGTGCCTGCACCACAGCCGGCACCACGCAGCGCGCCGCTGCCGCCTGTGCCGTCTGTGACACGCTCGACGGCTCCGGCACAGTCTGCGGCGGCGGCACGTGTGCGCCCGACGCGTGGGTGCCGTTCTCCACAAGCACGCCGAACAGCGCCAGCGCCCCCGTGCTCCCGCGCTTCTGCGTGGGCGTCGGGCTGGACGCCACACAGGGCACCGTGCTGCTCGCCCTCAAGACCGCCCTCGGGGTGACCTTCTCTGACTGGACCGCCGCCACCCTCGCTGCCCCCAAGGCATCCCCCACCAAGCCCAAGGCGGGGTCGAAGCCCAAGGCAGGGTCGAAGCGGCGCCTCATGCTGGGGAGGGGGTCGGGGCTTTACTACTCGTGGTCGTCGGTGGGGTCGTGCACCATCCAGGGCCAGACGCCCATTGCCGGGTCGTGGACCGGCGTGCGCTGCTCGCCGCTCGGACAAATCGTCAGCCTGTGAGCGCCCCTGCTCCCACCACTCTCCCTCCCTCCTGCAGTATCCTTGGCCCATCCCGCATGTGCCTCTGCCCATCGCCCCCCACTCACCCGTCTCCCCTGCCCCCCCCCCCTGTGCCCCTGCTATTGCCCTTATCCCCGGTGTGCAGTGATCTGCGGAGCCGACTGCTGAGTGGCACGGTGCACTCCGACATCAGCAAGCTCACCACGCTCACTTCACTGTAAGCTCGCCATGCTCACTTCACTGCAAGCTCACCGCACTGTAAGGTCACTGCACTGTAAGGTCACTGTGCTGCAACTTCACCGCACCCACTTCACTATAAGCTCACCACGCTCACTTCTCACCACCGCCGCAACCCCTCCGCCCCCCTTTGCAGGTACCTGACGTCCAACCTCTTCTTCCACCGCCTCGACTCCTACGTTGCGCCGCTCACACCCACCGCCAGCCTCAAGGAGCTGTGAGTGCCAATCGCATCCTCCGTGCTTCAACCGCCCTCCCCCCCTTGTTGCATCTACCCTTCCTCTTTCTGTTCTCGTGCACCTGTCATGCGCCGCTCGTCCTTCCTCTCTCCCTTCCACCCCCTTGCTCTCTAAATTGTATCTTAAAACGTTCTACCTCTCTCCTGCGCATGGTCATGTGTGCCGTGTGTGCCGTGGGTGCCGTGTGTGCTGTGTGTGTGCGTGCACCTGCTTCTGTGTGGTATTGCCTCTCCCCCCCACCAGCCGAATCAGCTTCAACTGGTTCTACGGCACGGTCCCCGCCACGCTCGTCAGCATGCCAGCGCTCTCCGTCCTGTAACGCCCCTTCCCCACACACCCCCTCCGCTCCGCTGCTCCCTGCTCCCTCTCACCCTCCTACCCCACTCTCCCTTCGCCTTTGCCCATCCTTTCCTGCACGTCTTTTCTACTTCTGTCTCTGCTGCCCTCATCTGACTCGCTTCTCCTTGCTGCTCGTGCTTGCGCCCATGTGGCTGGCGCATGTGTGTGCTGCATATGTGTGTGCTGTGCATGTGTGTCTCCCCAGGGCGATCAACAACAACTACCTCACGGGCACGCTGCCCAAGCCCGGCGCGGCGATGAAGGGCTTCGACACAGAGTACAACTTCCTCTCGGGCACCTTCCCCGCCGCCACACTCGCCTTCTGCAGCTCGCGAGGCAACTGCTTCCTGGACGCCACCGCATGCTTCAGTATGGACGGCAGCGCGCAGAGGAGCTCCTGCAGTGTGTGCGGGTCGAGCAACGGGCAGATGCCGCTGTGCGGCGGCGCTGTGTGCACGCCCGACCCCTCCGCCTACGTGGCGTCCAAAGTGCCCAACAGTGCCACCGCGCCCACGCTCGCCCTCCGATGCCCGCCCATGCCGCTCGATGCCGCCACCTGTGAGTGTCGCCTCCATGCTGCCTTGCCTGCTCATGATGTGTCGGCTTGCATGGTCGCCTTGCCCATCTCGCCATGTGATCCCTCCCCCATGCTCACCCTTCCCTGCCTTTGTCTCCTCCCCCATTCCCGCCCCCTGTGTGGTCCCTCCCCCATGCGCGCCCCTGTGGCAGCATTGGCGCTGGGCGCTGGGCGTGACGCACACGAACTGGCGCCTCAGAAGTTCTCTCTTGTCCCCCCACTCACCCCCCCACGCACCCCCCCACGCACCCCCCACGCACCCCCCCACGCACCCCCCCACGCACCCCCCTATGCCAGCTTCGGCGCTGCTCAACATCGGGTCGGCGCTGGGCGTGACGCACACGGACTGGAGCGCCAGCAGCAACTGCAACATCGTCGGGCAGAGCACCCTCGCTGCCAAGACGTGGCCGGGCGTGTGGTGCAGCGGCTCCGGCGCTGTCGTCTCCCTGTGAGGCTCCCCCCTCTCCCTCCCTCTCAAGCGGTCCTCAGATTGCAGCAAGCCCACCAATCAGTAGAATCCCCCCCTGCCTTGGTCATCGCCGGCTCGTGCTCCGCTCTCCAATCTCGCATTTCTCCCCCCATCCTTCCCTTGGCTTCTGAATCCTTTTCTAAACCCTGACCCCGCGTATGTCCTGTGGTCGAACCCCCTGTGTGATGCCCTGCTTGCTGCCCTGCGTGATGCCCTGCATGCTGCCCTGCATGCTGCCCTGCGTGCTGCCCTGCATGATGCCGTGGCATGGCAGCATACTGGACAACATGAAGCTGAGGGGCACCATTCATGGCGACATAACCAAGCTCACGGGGATCACCTACATGTAAGTGCCTACCCACCCACGGTTGACTTTGAGTCAACTCAAAAGTCACCTCTTATTGTGCCCGTTTGTAGCCCTCAGGATGTCTCTTTTGGCCGTTGCCCATGAAGCCTTTCCCGCCCCATTGCGTGCCAACCCTTTCAACCCCGTTCTCCCAAGTTCTCCCCCGTTCTCCCCCGTTCTCCCACCTGAAGGCATCTGGGCTACAACCTGCTGTCTGGCAAGCTCACCACCTTCGTCTCCAACATCACACCACTCACCGCCATCCAAACCCTGTAAGCCATTGCCACCCCGTAAGCCATCCAAACCCTGTAAGCCATTGCCACCCCGTAAGCCATCCAAACCTTGTAAGCCATTGCCACCCCGTAAGCCATCCAAACCCTGTAAGCCATTGCCACCCCGTAAGCCATCCAAACCCTGTAAGCCATTGCCACCCCGTAAGCCATCCAAACCCTGTAAGCCATTGCCACCCCGTAAGCCATCGCCAGCTTGTACATGCTGTTTCCATCTCTCCTCTATCCTGCTTCCTTGTCTTGAAATGCCTCTTACTGCCTTCCCGCATGCCTTACTTTTGCAGCTTGCTTCTGCTGCCTGCGTGCTAGGCCCCTACATTTCCATCACACCCCTTGTCACCGCATTTCACCACAAACACCTCACCAACCCCTTTCCATGTGGGTGCGGCGTGGCAGGAACCTCAACTTCAACTACCTCTATGACAGCGTGCCACCCACATTTCCTCCACACTCCTTCACACCGCTCTTCATCACACCCCACCAACTCCGTTCCCTTCCCCTTGGCTCCTTCCCCCTTTCTGGCCTGGCAGGAACCTCAACTTCAACTACCTCTATGACAGCGTGCCATCCACTCTCGTCAACATGGCCTCCCTCACGGAAATGTCAGCCTGAGCATAATTATTCTTCTGCCATGGTTTCTTTCTTTCGCCATTCCCCGCCTCATATATCTATCTCCCTCTCACTCTCACTCTCCCTCTCACTCTCACTCTCACTCTCCCTCTCCCTCTCACTCTCCCTCTCACCCTCCCTCTCACTCTCCCTCTCACTCTCCCTCCCTCTCCCTCTCACTCTCACTCTCACTCTCACTCTCACGCCCACTCACTCACTCACACATGTATCCATCCCCCTTGCCGTGCGTGCAGGCGCCTGAGTGTGAACTATCTTGTGGGGTCACTGCCAGCCATCCCCACGAAGCTCAAGTACCTGGCAGTGAACCACAACTTCCTCGCGGGCGCCTTTCCCGGGCAGACCTTCCAGTTCTGCGACGTGCGCAGCAACTGCTTCACCTCCACCGGCACCTGCTACAATGCCTACGGCGTGGCTCAGCGCACCGCCGGCTGCAACATCTGCGCCACCACTAATGCCGCGCCGCCCCTCTGCGGCGGCGCTTCCTGCATCCTCAACGCCGCGGTTCCCCTGGCGGCTGGCACGCTCAACGACTACGCTGCTCCCCTTCAGCCGTTCTATTGCTCAGCGCCCAATGTGGATCCTGTTGCGGGTGAGCCCAGGGGGCCTTGCTTACATGCCTCACTTACACGTGTATGCCTCGCATGCTCGTAGGTGCATCGAATCCACATACATGCATCACATGCGCATACATGTTGCCTGTGTGCCATGCCTCATCGTTACCCACGTTTTTTCCCCTGATCTCCCCTCACCTTCCTCTTTATGCCGTGCTCTCCCCTCCCCTCCCCCCCCTTCTTCCTGCAGCGCAAGCACTGCTAGTGCTGAGGGCAGCACTGGGCGTGCAGCAGAGCAGCTGGCTGGTGGACTCGCCATGCAACGTGGCGGGCAACCCGCCCGTGCCTGGCAGCTGGGTGGGCGTCGCCTGCGACCTCACCGGCCAAGTTGTCAGCCTGTGAGTGCCGCGTGCCAGCCATGCCTGTACGCATGGTTCCGAGATTCCAGTTGTGTTTGTCACATGCTCATCTCCAAGGGTACTCTGTGCTGATTCTATTAGGCCTCTGCCGTCAAGTTGCTGATTCCTTCCTCTTGCCATGTGTGGATGCATGGTGGCATGGTGGCATGGCATGGTTGCATGGTGGCGTGGTTGCATGGTGGCATGATCGTATGGTGGCATGGTTGTATGGTGCCATGGTGGTGTGGTGACGTCACTCCAGGGACCTGCCCAGCATGGGTCTGCGAGGGAGCCTGCCTGCCGACGTCTCCAAGCTCACTGCCATCACCAAGATGTGAGCCTCGCATTCGTCACACCACACCGCAAATCGCGCCCTTGCATCCCTCTTATTCCACGAGCGTCCTCTAATTTCTTCCCATTCAGATGGCATTTTCCACTTGTGTGAGTGCAATGCCCATGCCCATTCATCCACCCTTTCTTGGTCTCCTTTCCCTCCCTCGCCTCTCCCCTCCTCTCCCCCCTCCTTTCAACCCCCCTTGCTCCGCACAGCAACCTGGCGTCGAACCTGTTGGAGGCGCGGCTGGGCGAATGGGCCACGGTGCTCACGACGCTCAAGGCGCTCAAGGACCTGTGAGTGCTCTGCCGTGCTGTCTTCGGCTTTTGAGATGTCTCTGCCATGCATGCCCCATGGGCACAGGGACCCAGGGACCCATGCCTCCATGCCTCCATGCCTCCATGCCTCCATGCCTCCATGCCTCCATGCCTCCATGCCTCCATGCCCACTACCGCGTGCTTAACTGTCTTGTTCCGGTCTTCTTCTGCGCACGCTGCCCTGCGCCTCACCATCACCCCCCTCTGCACTTGTCGTGCCCTCTCTTCCTCCCCTCCGCACTTGTCTCTCTGCCCCCAACAGTTCTCTCAACTACAACTGGTTCTCTGGGCCTCTGCCATCCTACCTCCTTGGGCTCTCCTCCCTCACAAAGCTGTAAGTCACACACACACACACACACACACACACACACACACACACACACACACACACACACACATACACGCACGCACACACGCGCGCGTGCACCGTGCACACTAACCCCCTCTTGATTGCACACACTCGTTTGACCTCAGATGTGCTCATCCCCTCTGTTTACTTCAGGCACGCTCCCCCCCCACCCCACAGCCCGCCCACTCGTACCACCCCATCCACGTGCCACTCACCATTCGCCATTCGTCTTCCCCCCACCCCCCTGTCGCCCCTGTCCCCCTTGCTGCAGCAACCTGGCGTTCAACTACCTCACCGGCACCATCGCCGGCACGCCCGCGGCGGGGCTCAAGTCGCTCAGCGTGGCGTCCAACTTCCTGGCGGGCTCCTTCCCGGCATCTTCCAGCACCTTCTGCGACGCGCGCAGCAACTGCCTCACGGACGCGTCCAAGTGTGTCTCCTCAGGCTCCTCCGCGCAGCGCACCTCCGGGTGCATCCTCTGCGGTGTCGCCAACGCGTCTGCGGTCCTGTGCGGTGGAGGGGTGTGCGTGCCCAACACCGCCACGCCACTCGCCTCCAAGACGCCCAACAGCGCCACGGCAGGCGTGTTGCCGCTCGTGTGCACTGGCGTCAGGATCGACCCTGCTGCGTGTGCGTCCCTTGCCTCCTCCCTGCCATGTTGTGCTCTGCTGCTCGCTTCCCTGATCCCTGCCACAATTGCCACACTCGTCACACCCGCCACGCTTGCCATACTTCCCTCGTTTGCCACGTTTGTCACACTCGCTGCATCTCCCGGTTCTGCGCTCCGTTCCCTGTAGCAGTCACCCTCTCTCCACTTATTCCACCGACCCATCAACCCCCCCCCCCCCCCGCCCTGCCTGCCCGCCCACAGTGGCAAACCTGAAGACGGCGCTGGGCGTGTCGCATGCACCCCATGCCATTCCCTGGAATCACTGTCCGTTCTCTCCTATTCCCCTGCACCCATGCAACCCCCCGCCCGCCTGCCTACCCGCAGTGCTGGTTCTGGCGAACCTGAAGACAGCTCTGGGCGTGTCGCATGCACCCCATGCCATTCCCTGGAATCACTGTCCGTTCTCTCCTATTCCCCTGCACCCATGCAACCCCCCGCCCGCCTGCCTACCCGCAGTGCCGGTTCTGGCGAACCTGAAGACGGCGCTGGGCGTGTCGCATGCACCCCATGCCATTCCCTGGAATCACTGTCCGTTCTCTCCTATTCCCCTGCACCCATGCAACCCCCCGCCCGCCTGCCTACCCGCAGTGCCGGTTCTGGCGAACCTGAAGACGGCGCTGGGCGTGTCGCATGCACCCCATGCCATTCCCTGGAATCACTGTCCGTTCTCTCCTATTCCCCTGCACCCATGCAACCCCCCGCCCGCCTGCCTACCCGCAGTGCCGGTTCTGGCGAACCTGAAGACGGCGCTGGGCGTGTCGCATGCACCCCATGCCATTCCCTGGAATCAATGTCCGTTCTCTCCTATTCCCCTGCACCCATGCAACCCCCCGCCCGCCTGCCTACCCGCAGTGCCGGTTCTGGCGAACCTGAAGACAGCGCTGGGCGTGCCGCACGGGGGTTGGGGCGTGCAGACGCTGTGCACAGTGACGGGCATTTACAAGGGCCCCGAGGACATCCCCGCAGTGTACTGCAACGCCGCGGGGGGCGTGGTGGACCTGTACCTCGCTTACCGCGGCATGCGCGGCACCATACACCCCGACATCTCCAAGTTCACCACGCTCACCTCCATGTGAGTGTGCCACTGCTGCCCCTCACGCCCGCTCACTCACTGCCCTTGACGTGCGCCCACTGCCCTGCAAATTGAGTCTCCCTTCAAACGGGCTCGTCTCCCTCCCTCCCTCATCCGCTTATGTCTCCTATTCCCATCTCACCCCCCACCGTGCCCCACCGCGCCCCCTGCAGCGACGTGTCGTCCAACTTCCTGTCAGGGCGGGTGGACCCCTTCATCTCGGCCCTCTCTCCGATCCCCAACCTGCTCAGCGTGTACGTCCCCCAGCTCCCCTCTCCCATCTCCCGCTGTTTCCTCAACTGCTTGTGCCTGTCACTGCTCTCTTCTTCGTCCCTGTCTCGACTCGGTGTCCTCATCATCCCTCATCTTTGCCTGCTGTGTGGGCGGTGCCATCCACTTCCCCGAATCTCCCCCCTCCCCCCCACAGAGTGCTAAACCACGGCTTCTTCTTCTCGGGCTCGTTGCCCTCTTACATTTTGAGTCCACTCAACGCTTCCCCCTCTCTGCCCCCTCTTCCCCCCCCCCCCCCCCCCCCCCTTCCCCTCCCCGCAGAGTGCTGGATTACAACTTCTTCTCGGGCTCGCTGCCCTCCACCATCTCGGCCCTCAAGACCCTTAACGAGCTGTAAGCCCACTGCCTCTCCCTGCCATGCCATGCCATTCTGTAAGCCCACTACAACGCCTGCCATGCCATGCCAAGCCATGCCATGCCATGCTATCCCATGCCATGCCTTCCCATGCCATCCCATCCCATGCCATGCCATGCCATCCCATGCCATGCCATCCCATGCCATGCCATGCCATCCCATGCTATGGCATGCGTCATTCCGCCCAGCCAGTTCATCCACCTCCACCTCCCTTCGCCCCTTACTCCTCTCCCTTTTCAACTCTCCCCGTGCTTCCCACTGTGCCCTGCTTGGCCGCCCGCAGGAGCCTGGCGTGGAACTACCTGACAGGCACGGTTCCGGCACTAAGTGCCACGATCAAGAACCTGGACCTTCAGAACAACTGGTTCGTCGGCACCTTCCCCACCGGCACCTTCACTTCCTGCACCGTCCGCGCCAACTGCTTCACCGACCCCACCAAGTGCACGGCCACCACCCTGGGGCTCACCCAGCGGCCCGCCTGCGACATCTGCGGCAGCACGGATGGCAAGGGCACGCTGTGCGGTGGCACGGCCATCTGCCAGCCCGACCCCGCCGCCGTGAAGGCAGTCACTGCCATCCCCTCCTCCACCACCCCCGTGCTCGGCCTCACCTGCCCGCCCACTCCGCCGGTCGCCACTGACGCCACTGCAGGTATGACAAGGATTGGGCTTATGCCAGCAGGTGCGACTAAGCGTGGGCTTATACCAGCTGCCACAGTGCTGCTGAGTGGTACCATGGCGTGCCAGGGATTTGTCGCTCTCACCTCTTGCCTGATGATCCAAGGCCATTGCTGCACAGCTGCACATGTGCATGCCGTGGCTCACATCACTGCTGCCCGTGTCTCCGTGACTCCCCCTCCTCCCTCCCCCCCCAACGACGGCGCTGCTGAACATCAAGGCGTCCCTGCGAGTGACGTTCACGGACTGACTCTTGGGTTAACTCAAAAGACTCCCCTCCCTCCCCCCCTCCCCCACTCCCCCCCCAGCGACGGCGCTGCTGAACATCAAGGCGGCCTTGGGAGTGACGTACACCAACTGGGCGGCCGGAGCCATATGCACCGCTGTGGGCAGCACGGGTGCAGGCGGCTTCACGGGCGTCGAGTGCGACCCTCTGGGCAACCCCGTCAAGATGTGAGTGGTGCTGGCAAGATGTGAGTGGTGCTGGCAAGATGTGAGTGGTGCTGGCTCTATGTGAGTGGTGCTGGCGAGATGTGAGTGGTGCTGGCGAGATGTGAGTGGTGCTGGCGAGATGTGAGTGGTGCTGGCGAGATGTGAGTGCTGCTGGCGAGATGTGAGTGGTGCTGGCGAGATGTGAGTGGTGCTGGCGAGATGTGAGTGGTGCTGGCGAGATGTGAGTGCTGCTGGCGAGATGTGAGTGGTGCTGGCGAGATGTGAGTGGTGCTGGCGAGATGTGAGTGCTGCTGGCGAATGTGAGTGGTGCTGGCGAGATGTGAGTGCTGCTGGCAACTTATCACGACGTGAAAGCACAAGGGCAGGCACAGAGGGAGGCGACCTTAGGTTAATCAAACCTATTAGGTTTGGTGCTAGCTGGACAGCGGGGGTTGTTCTGCATCGTGCGTGAGGTTGGTTGGCAAGGCTGGTTGGCGATGTGGCGAGTTTCAGAAAATTGGGTATGGCGATCGTGGCCGGATGGTTTTTGCGACACTTTTTCCAGCCCACCAATTTCAGGGGGTTTCATACCTAATAGATTCGGTCCTCAATTCACGCAATTCGGAACTCGGGCTTTAAAGCTTGCAGTGTTGGGGCACCTGCATTGTACCTGCCTGTTTTCTATTGTTCTTCTCTTTCACACTTGTTCTCAACCCCTCCCCTCCTTTTGTCACTGCTGCCTTCCCACAGCACCCTGGACAGCCAGAAGCTGTTTGGTATTCTGCATGCGGACATTACCAAGCTCACGGCACTCACATTCATGTAAGCACCTACTTTCGTGTAAGCATTCGCAATTATGTTAGCACTCACGCTCGTATAAGCATTCGCAATGATGGAAGCACTCACATTCATGTAAGCCCGCACTTTCACATAAGCACTCATGTTCACATAAGCACTGATGTTCGCGTAAGCACTCACGTTCGTGAATGTGAGGTCCATTCATATCCCTCAACCGCCCCTGCCCCACCAACCCCCGTCTCCCCCCCTCCCCCCCATTTTTCCCACTCCGTGTGCCTGGCAGCTCGCTCAAGTCGAATCTCTTCAAGTCGCGCCTCGAGGAATTTGCTGTCAAGATCCCCTCGCTCCCTAACCTCGCAGTGCTGTGAGTCGCTCCCCAACCCCCCAGTGCAGAACATTGCTTTCCTCCTCCAATCTTCTCGCCTCACTTCGCACCTTGGCTTGTCAACTTACCCTTATCTCCATGCTCTTCTCCGTGGGCCCTGTTTTGTGTGTGTACATGTGTGTTGTGAGGTGTTTGTGTGTGTGTGTGTGAGTGTGCGTGTGTGTGTGTGTGAGTGTGCGTGTGTGTGTGCCCAAATTTTTGTGCATGTGTGTGCCCCTGTTATTGTGCATGTGTGTGTCCCTGTTATTGTGCATGTGTGTGTCCCTGTTATTGTGCATGTGTGTGTCCCTGTTATTGTGCATGTGTGTGTCCCTGTTATTGTGCATGTGTGTGTCCCTGTTATTGTGCATGTGTGTATCCCTGTTATTGTGCATGTGTGTGTTCCTGTTATTGTGCATGTGTGTGTCCCTGTTATTGTGCATGTGTGTGTCCCTGTTATTGTGCATGTGTGTGTTCCTGTTATTGTGCATGTGTGTGTCCCTGTTATTGTGCATGTGTGTGTCCCTGTTATTGTGCATGTGTGTGTTCCTGTTATTGTGCATGTGTGTGTCCCTGTTATTGTGCATGTGTGTGTTCCTGTTATTGTGCATGTGTGTGTCCCTGTTATTGTGCATGTGTGTGTTCCTGTTATTGTGCATGTGTGTGTCCCTGTTATTGTGCATGTGTGTGTCCCTGTTATTGTGCATGTGTGTGTTCCTGTTATTGTGCATGTGTGTGTCCCTGTTATTGTGCATGTGTGTGTCCCTGTTATTGTGCATGTGTGTGTTCCTGTTATTGTGCATGTGCGTGTCCCTGTTATTGTGCATGTGTGTGTTCCTGTTATTGTGCATGTGTGTGTTCCTGTTATTGTGCATGTGTGTGTTCCTGTTATTGTGCATGTGTGTGTCCCTGTTATTGTGCATGTGTGTGTTCCTGTTATTGTGCATGTGTGTGTCCCCGTTTTTGTGCCATGTCTGCGTCTTTGTGTGTCTCGCAGGCTGCTTGACTTCAACTGGTTCTACGGCAGTCTGCCCCCGGCTCTCGTCGGCATGGCCAAGCTCACGCGCCTGTCAGTACCTCTCTAGGCTCCACCGCCCCATCGCCCTGCACTCCCTTGTCAAACTCTCGTCTCGTCCCGCAACGCTTCCTTGCCTGCAAATTTTCAAGCATCAAACAGCTTCCCATATCCACACCTCATCCTCCCTTCTCCTCATCTCTCTCCCCCCTACCCCCAACACCCCCCCCCCGCCCTTCCCCTATCGCACCAGTGGCATCTCCTACAACTACCTGTCGTACCGCGTGCCGCCGCTGTCAGCAGCCCTCAAGGACATCGACATGTCCAACAACTTCCTGTCGGGCACCTTCCCTGCCAACTCCGCCACGTCCTGCGGCGCCGCAAGCAACTGCCTGCTCAACGCCGCGGCGTGCACTACCAAGGCCGCGTCCACGCAGCGGTCGTCCGGGTGCAACATCTGCAGCACCACCTCCACCACGGGGCAGGGCATGCTATGCCTCGGCCGCGGCATCTGCACCGTCAACGCTGCTGTGCCGTTCAACGCCCAGACCCCCAACGCTGCCGGCGCCGCCATCCTGCCCTTGACTTGCATCGGTGAGTGCTTCTGCCAGTGGGCACACGTGTCATTGGAGCTGCTGACCTTACCATGGCCCAACGTAACTCATTCTCTTCCTCCTCTCGTTGCTGGCAGATCTGGTTTGCGGCTCCGCCTCCCCCTGGTTTTGCCCCACCGATTGGCGCTGTGCCGGTCTGCAGTGCGTCAACAACTTTGTCAACTGCATTGGCTACCTCTGCGTCTAGAGGCTCCCATCAATGGACTGGCTTTGGCTGCCTGTGCGCCTAGGCTCTAGAGAGTGCTGCTAACTGTGTGACCTAGAGTGCCATTTGGTCTGCTTTGGCTGCCTCAGCGTCTAGATGCTGAGCCTTCATTAGTTACCCCTGCTACTTCTGCATCTGCGATGCTCTTAGCCTGCATTAGTAGTTACCCCTCTGCATTTGGATTGTCATTCCGTTGGCCGTCGATGCCTGGAATGCCAACTTCCATTGTCTCCATTTTTCTAGACTTCGTACGTACCGTACCTTACTTCTACGATCATGATTTGCTACATTGAGTTGGTGGTTTGTGGATTGTGCACAAATTGTCTTTGCAGCAGATGAACCGATTAGTGTTTTGCTTTTTGCTTCCGGAACTTGTTTGACCTTGCTGTAAATGGTAGTAGACAAATGAGTAAATGCCCAAACGAACATAGCCTGTACCATTTCGTCTCCTATTAGAATATCATGGTGTACTTTGGAAAAGAGAAGCTCGCAGCCTAAACAATAACGAGTATTCCCGTGCAAAACAGCACTCTCCATCCACTCGTACCATTTCGTCTCTCGATCCAGCCTACTCCCACCCACCACAGTAAAAGACGCCGCGCTTCTCGCACGCTACTACCTCTCCTTAGGTCGAAGCCCCAGACGAAGTCGCCACTCCATAGTACCCATCAGCATGGCGCTACTCATCGGCATTTCTAAGGGCCTCGCGGTCGCACTCGTCGATACTCCCGAGGGCCGGACTAGGTTTATGCGGATCGCTAGCAACGACCGTGCTCCGTTTGTACCGCTGCCGATCGGTACTTCAACGGGCTGACTTGGTTCAGTAGGATTGCTCGGATCGAGCTTGCTCCTCGTGGCTCCAAACTCTAGGCGACTATCGCCTCCGGGGCAGCGAAAATTATTTGGAAATACTCTTGCAAATAGCCTCAAGGGCCTTGCCTCGAAGACTGATCTCAAAGTAGCTGCTAATTGTCAATACGAAATGACAGCAATTTCCACTAGAAACAATTGTAAGAAATAGAGTTGAAATAATTGATAAGGTAAGGAGCCCAAGGCTCTATAAGTACATGGCAAGGTGAGAGAGAATGGATGAAGGGGGAATTGGAGGGAATCCCCATTGGGATCTCCGGAATCTCCAATTGGGTAATTGGAGATTGTGAGGATCACAATTGGGTGAGGTTGAGATTTGTGAGTACACCCCAACCCACTAGAACATTCACAACCTAAACTAGGATATAAAAGTACAAATACAAAAGTGGTATTTGCAGTCTATTTCTAACACACCCCCATAGACTGCAAACCCGGTCAAGGAGCACATAGCCCCATGGAACGGAGAAGGCGATGGAGGTCAGCCTTGCCGAGAGCCTTGGTAAAGAGGTCGGCGAGGTTGCAATCTGAGGCGATGTACCGTACCGTCAGCTGGTCACTCTGAACAAGATCTCGGATGAAGAAATGACGAAGTTCGATGTGCTTGGTGCGAGAGTGGAACACAAGATCCTTGGTGAGATGAATGGCACTCTGGTTGTCACACCACAGGGTGGGCGACTGCTGGGGGTAGCCTAACTCAGCGAGGAGAAAGCAGAGCCAGCGTGCCTCTTGAGCAGCCATTGTGCCCGCGTAGAGCTCGGCCTCGCAGGACGACAGGGAGACTGCAGAGGACCGAGTGGAGCGCCAGCTGATGACTCCGCTACCAAGGGTGAAGCAGTACCCTTGGGAGGAGCGTCTGTCAGTCTGGTCATCGGCCCATGAGGAGTCTGTGTATCCCTCGAGCTTGACTGGAGAGGTACCACCAAGAGTGAGGATGTGAGACTTGGTGGCTTGTAGATAGTGGAGGACCCTCTTGGCTGCAGACCAATGCGAGGCAGTGTAGCGTCCGGGGGAGACGTACCGAGAGAGGACACTAACCGGGTAAGCCAAGTCTGGTCGAGTGCACATCATGGCATACATGAGTGAACCGACTAGCTCAGGGTACGGGTCCTTGCAGGCGTCAGGAGAAGGAACTGGAGGGGCCGTGAGCTGATGCTGTAGTGGGAGTGGAGTGGAGACAGAGTTACTGGAGTCCATGTCGAATCGCTTGAGAAGGTTGTCGATGTAGGACTCCTGGGAGAGGGTGATCGTGCAAGCCTGGCGGTCACGAGTGATCTCCATCCCCAGGTAGTTCTTGAGGTCACCAAGATCCTTCATGAGAAGGGCGGAGCTGAGAGCAGACTGGACAGCTGCCATGTCGGCTGGATCTCTGGCGGCTAGAATGAAGTCATTGACGTAGACGAGGATGTAGAAGGGCTCGGAGGAGTGACGAACAAAGAGACTGGAATCTGAGGCAGAGGGATGGAAGTCAAGTGCGAGGAGGACTTCCTTCACCTTGTTGTGCCACTCACGAGGAGCCTGCTTGAGGCCATACACTGGGCGCTTCAGCTTCCACACTGTGTTGACAGGGTAAGTGCCAGGAAACCCCGGTGGGCGTTCCATGTGAACATCCTCCTTGAGCTGGCCTTGGAGAAAGGCGGAGGAGGCGTCCATGGACTTGATCTCGAAGTTGCCGCGAGCGGCTATATCAAGAAGAGCGCGCACAGTCGGGAGCTTGGCCGTGGGCGAGAATGTTTCGAAGAAGTCGAGATACTCCTTCTGGGTGAAACCCTTCGCCACGTATCGTGCCTTGAACAGTGGAGCTTCGCCTGGGAGTTGTTTGACTCGGAAGATCCATTTTCCGCCGACGATGTTGACACCGGAAGGGGCAACAACATCGTCAAAGCTATTGTTGCGAATGAACGCCTTGTTCTCCACATCCATTGCTGCCTTCCACTCCTTCTTATAAGGCCCCGAGAGAGCTTCCTCTTTTGTGCGAGGAGTCGGAATGGTCGGGTTCTCGGTGAAGTTGAGGGAAGGGCAGTCAGTAATGTCCGGGAAGATGTGAGAGAGAAATTGGCAAACCGCGTGAAGGTCAAACAGCTCCTCATGCCTGTCCTCCAGAAGTGCACGGGGGGGAATACGGATGGAGGGGACATCACCCCCGGCAGGAGGAGGCGGGGTGACCGAACACCGGATGGAGAAGGCGGCTGGTCCCCAGGCGAGAGGCGGAGCCGGTCCCTTGGAACGAGTGCGACTAGAGACCGGAGACGAAGGCGGCTGCGGTGGGACCGGAGGGACTGGGCGTCTCCGATAGGAGACTGGTGAGCCGGGCTCGATGCGCGAGGAAGGCGGAGCAGGAGGAGGTGCCGCTGCGGAGGATACTGGGGAGGCCGGGTGAGACACGCCGGACGGAGAAGGCCCCGGAGAAGGGGCAGCGGCCGGAGATGGGGCATCGAAGTCTGCCCAAACAAGCGTCGGGGGAGGTGGAGGAGGCTCGCCCGTGGTCGCAGAGTGGAATGGGCGTGTCTCATCGAAGACGACATCACGGCTGCGAATCAGCTGTCTGGTGATTGGGTTGAGGAATAAGTAGTCTGGGGAGTCGGAGTTGTGCCCCAGGTACATGCAGGTCTGGGTTTTGGGACCAAGCTTGCCACCTTGCTTCCTGCGCGTGTGGGGGCTTAGCAACACATACGCAGTACACCCCCAGACGCGTAGAGAGCGGGCGGAAGGCGTGATCCCAAGCCAGAGAGCGGTAGGTGTGGTGTCGGGCCGGTGGGGATGCGGATAAAGATTGTAAAGGAGTGCCGCATGGAAGAGGGCATATCCCCAGAGTAACCGTGGTGCGTTGGCGTGACTGAGGAGGCAGCGAGCGATCTGAACCAAGGTGTGGTTGTGGCTCTCTGCAATGCCATTCTGCTGCGGGCTTTCGGGGAGCGTGAAGGTTTGCCGAATCCCTTGGGCCGCACAGAAGTTATCGAGTTTGCCATTGCGAAATTCTCCCCCGCCATCAGAATGGAGGCACTTCAGAGGAGTGCCGAACGTGACTTGAGCCTGGCGCACCCACGCCATGATGACATCAGGTGCCTCCGCCTTGGTATGCAGGAGGTGCACAGAAACATACCGCGAGTGGTCATCGACTAGTGTAAGAAAGTAACGATGACCGCCTCGGGATGCAACTGGAGCTGGGCCCCATACATCCATGTGCACTAGGTCCAGCGAAGCAGCTGCGACGGATGGGGAGGAAGGGTGCGGCTGCTGCCTGAGCTTGCTCTTGGTGCAGTCCAGGCAGGTGGGTGCAGGTGAGTCTGTTGGTGGAGGAAGCGCCGACGGGAGGCCAAGAAGACGTTTCTTGGAAGCGATGTCGGCAAGTGTACGGAAGTTGGGGTGACCCAAGCGATGGTGGTAGAGGATGGTTGGGTTGGCGAAGCTGCGACATGAACACGGAGTGGTGCTGGCAGCTTGCGCTTGGGAGAGGGCGGCGAGAGGTGCAGGTGAACGCAGCGTGTAGAGCTTGCTACTGTTGAGTGTGAAGCGTGCTAGGAGCTTGTTGGACTTAGGGTCGAAGAGGTCACAGTGATCCGAGTGTGCTGGGAAGATCGTGGTGACGCCTGCCCGTTGGAGCGCGTGTTGGGCCACGAGATTGTGGCGTAGTGTGGGAACACACATGCCGGTGACACTGCCCGAAGGAAAAGCTGGGCACGGAACTGTGGAGGAGCCCTTGGCGTGTGTTGTGAAACTGGAGTCTGCTCCTAGTAGACGGATTGGTGTCTCGTATGGCTTGAAGGAGTGTTCTTCCTTGAGAACCGTGTGAGTGGCCCCACTGTCAAGGGTGAACTCTATTGTGGCTGAGGTGCTTTGTGAGCCGGGACACTGCGAAATTGTCTCATTAATCATGGCAGTGCCAGGGAACAACATGTGGAGGCGCACATCAGCAGTGGGAGCTACAGCAGCCTGCACGGATTCCTGCGCTTCGACTTGATTGACCTTGCGAGGAGCACGATTGACCATCCAGCTTGGCGGCTTCGAGGCGGTCCCATTGACGGCATACAAATCGTTATCCTTTTTCTTGAAGCAGGAGGCAAGGGCGTGGTTGGTGCCGCCACACACCTGGCCGGCACGAGGGCCGCGCTTGATGACATAAGGACACGGGGGGAAGCGGTTGCGCTGGAATGGCGCCGAAGCGGCATAGGCTTGAGGCACGGGAGCGCGGATTGCATTGGCCTTGGCTTGAGCGCTGTTGTCCTTTTCGGCAGAAAGGAGTGCGGATGAGACCTTGGCAAATGTGAGGTCTGCAGGAGCAAGGCCCAAGAGCATCTTGCGTGTGACTTCGTATGCCGGAGTGAGGCCGACTAGGAGAGCGGCTGCAGGGGCTTGCTCGGGGAAGACTATCCCCAACTGTTTGAGTTCATCATGAATGGACTGCACCTTGGTGACATAGTCCGCCATGCCTGGCGAGTCCTTGAGCCGTACTTGGAACATGCTGGGGATGAGTTTAGCAACTCCCACTGCAGTCTTGTTGAGGAAGCGATCCTCGAGGTAGAGCCAAATGGCGTTGGCAGACGGGTA